CTGGCTGCTCCGTCAAAGTAAATTGAGGGAAACGTAATGTGCAAACATTGTATACATAATTGTTCTGTGTTCATGGAGGATGCTTAGTTCACACTATAAAACACCACACTTAAGGGTATATGTTTTACTCAATACGACTTCACATCATACTTTTGGTACAGCCATAATGATATTAATATCAATGAAGACTGAAGCATTGCCTTCATTAGGAGACAAAGGTTATTCAATAAGTTAAGGTTAGAGTTTGATCATGTGTGTTCTATGGGACTTAGGCCCTGTCTAGATGTATTCGGATAAATTTGAAAACGCAAAAACGTTTTTGAGGTATTAAAAACCTCTGCGTTCACACGTAGTCGTTTTCAGATCGTTTTTGCCCGTCCACACGTATCCGGATAAATATGATAACGCTGATGAAATTACATCTGAGCAAGCGCAGATTCAAGATGAGCCTGCAAATTAAGTTCACGTACATGACTACATGTGTCTTTTTGACACTTGAAGCGAAACTCTCTTTTGCATAATTTGTAAATAGAATTCGAAAAATATGTCAAACGCATTAGAAAAGTCATGAAAATCAAAGAAGGGCAAAACGGAAAACTTTGTGTAGATGGACAATAAAGTAGTCTTAAAAATGCGCGCAGTGAACTGGTTCGTAGTTAATACGTCATCGTTTTTATATTTTAACGGTTTTATCGTTTAAAACAGGCCTTAGATAGAAACTCACGAGGGCCTAACTGCATTAGAACATGGCCAAAACCACGAGGGTACTTATTGAACATCATTAGTATTTACTATTTAAAGAATATTAATAAGGAATTAAACAGTAATAAAACAAAATCTAAATTGGTACACTCTTTATAGAGAATACTATTGGGATTTAGAGGATACCAATAAACTGTTGTTCTCCATTGTTTCCACTCCATCTCTGCATTTTATTTGAGATTTATAGCACTTCATGAATTTCAGGCACTACGATATTTAGAACATCAAATACCCAGACGAATTTGGGTAATAACTTTAGACAGTGTATCAATCATCCTTTAGGCTTCCACTTTCCCAATATGCTCCAATTAAGAACTGCAACATACCATATCGAATTGAATATGATATTCTGTTCTATGATAACCAGAATATGACATTTGTATTTTTCTTATTATCGTTAATTATTGTTAAACACGGGCTACTGTTTTTTGTATCCCTTATTTGAAAGTTAAAAATATGGCATAAATTAAATTGTTCGTTTCTCATAAACCTTCAGGAAAACTGTTGAAAATAGAAACGCTCTATGGTATTAAATTTACAATTCGTGTTATTGAATACCTTTTCTCTCTTAATGAAGGGCAAATGCTGTAAATAAAAGAATATGAAGAATGGCTCTTTTCATTTGCAACTTCTGACGAATTATCAATTTGAAATTCAGCCAAATCTCTCAAATAATCATTGAGTATAAACAACAGCTGCTTCAAAAGCTAAATCTTCAATACGTGCGTTCTCTTTTAATGTCACATCAGAGGCGTAGTCACCTAATTCCTACGCCTTAAAACATTAAAAACCTTAAAACATTTTGCATTAAAGAAAATTTTGCATACTTATTCAAACTTCAACCATACTAATCATAATGCTATTTATATCACTTATAACTAATTATAAGTGTTTTGTTTCTTTTAAAATTGACTGATTTATGGAGTTGATTGAAAGAAATCAAATATTATAAAACGAAATATACTTGTTTCGCATGCTTTTTCAATATAGTTTGAGAAAAAACCATGGGAATAATAAATCATAGCTGAAAGTCATATCAAATACCATATCCGCGTTTTATCCTTTTGAGTAAAAACCCTCGAAACGCACGTTTTAAATAATTTTAGCCAATCCGTCCGCCGTCCGTCCGCCCTTCCGCGAATGTCATCCGTCCGAGTTTATTTAATGTAATACATATAATAAGATGTTGTTATTGGCTTTGCTTACAAGTATTAATTGAACGTAAGTTTGCTTTCTTGAACATTCGTAACGCGTAATGAATATTTCAACCATTCTGATAATTTTTTGTTTTTGCTTAAATGACAGGAATATGCTTTATTAATTATAGATATGGCTGTTATGACAAATTTGTATTCAAGTTTGCTTTTACCTATATATGAGTGAAATTCTTGCTGTTGATGCGTCTTCTTGGGTAGACCAAATCATTTAAAGACAAAAATTTGCATAAGCAATCTCGTGCTATGATTGCTTTGTATTCTTCGTCTGTGCGCCACTTACTTAAGACAATCTTACAATCTGTAAAATCGTCATGTTCGCTGAAACCATCTTGCAAAAACTGTTTAAATGCAAATGTCTGTTTGAATGTTTTAGCTATGTAAGTGAAAACATTCAGCACCTATGTATCACTGCAACAATGTATATTAACGTCATATGCAATCAATTGGTTAAACGTGACCTTGTGCCTCAAAAAGCAGTGAAGTGTAGCAAATGACTAAGTGTAAAAGACAAGAAAAGTTATCTTAAAGATCATTACTGATTTGACATTATCAGGCTGCGTAAGAGCTAGCGCTAAAAAGTTGGCAAGTTTGTTAAAAAGTCAAAGGTAAGCTGGTTGATTATAATTCTAAGATTCTTTCTTTTCTACATCTATTGGTCGCCCTTTCACAATTAACGTAAATCAACTAAATTAAAGAACTACTCCCTTGCCGTAGTAGGAGGCTTAATTTCAATACGTTTTGCCGTAGAACATTTTAAATTAAGATTTACAAAATGTCCGTAAAAGTGAGATGACGGTGATATGGGAGTTTGTGTAAAAATGTAATTGAAAGTGAATGAAAATCTTGGGAAAATCTTGTTAATAAATTTGATTTGACTGAGCAATGATTTTTAATGATTTAAATAAGTCAAGGTTTGAGCGAAAATTATGACATCTGCGTCGACGTAAGCACAAAATTAATTAAAAGAGCATAAATAAAAAAAAACTAACACAATTCTGAAGCGAAACAAAAATTAAGAGAAATTCTTGCTGTTGATGCATGTTCTTCGGTAGACCAAATAATTTAAACACAAAAATTTGCATAAGCAATCTCGTACAATGATTCTTTATATTCTTCTCTTGTGTGCCACTGACTTAAGACAATCTTACAATCTGTAATTCGTCTTGTTCGCTGAAATCATCTTGTAAAAACTGGTTAAATGCAAGTGTCTGTTTGAATTTATTAGCTATGTAAGGGAAACACCTATATAACGCTGTAACAATGTATATTAACGTCATATGCAATCAATTGGTTAAACGGATCTTGTGTCTCAAAAAGCAGTGAAGTGTAGCAAATGACTATATGTAAAAGACCAGAAAAGTTGTCTTTAAGGTCAATACTGATTTGACATTATCAGGCTTCAGAAAGCTAGCGCTAAGAAGTTGACAAGTTTACTAAAAAGTAAAGGTAATCTGGTTAATTTTTGTTATAAGATGCTTTCTTTTTACATCTATTACTCGCACTTTGACAATTAACGTAAATCGAGTAAATTAAAGAACTACTGTCTTGCCGTAGTAGGTTTAATTTCAATACGCTTTGTCGTAGAACATTTCAAATTAGGATTTACAAAATGTACGTAAATACGAGATGACGGTGAAATGGGAGTTTTTGTAAGAATGTAATTGAAAGTGAATGAAAATCTTGGAACGTCCTGTTAACAAATTTGATTTGACTGAGCAATGATTTCAATAATTTAAATAAGCCAAGGTTCGAGCGGAAATTGTAACAACTGCGTCGACGTAAGCACAAGAATTAAGTAAAAGAGCAAAAACCGAAAAAACTAAATTTAAAACAATTCTGAAGCGAAACAAAAATTAAGAAAAATTCTTGCTGTTGTTATGTGTTCTTGGGTAGACCAAATAATTTAAACACAAAAATTTGCATGAGCAATCTCGTACAATGATTGCTCTGTATTCTTCTCCTGTGCGCCACTGACTTAAGACAATCTTACAATCTGTAAATCGTCTTGTTCGCTGAAATCATCTTGTAAAAACTGGTTAAATGCAAGTGTCTGTGTGAATTTATTAGCTATGTAAGGGAAACACCTATATAACGTTGTAACAATGTATAGTAACGTCATATGCAATCAATTGGTTAAACGGATCTTGTGTCTCAAAAAGCAGTGAAGTGTAGCAAATGACTATATGTAAAAGACCAGAAAAGTTGTCTTTAAGGTCAATACTGATTTGACATTATCAGGCTTCAGAAAGCTAGCGCTAAGAAGTTGACAAGTTTACTAAAAAGTAAAGGTAGTCTGGTTGATTTTTGTTATAAGATGCTTTCTTTTTACATCTATTACTCGCACTTTGACAATTAACGTAAATCGAGTAAATTAAAGAACTACTGTCTTGCCGTAGTAGGAGGTTTAATTTCAATACGCTTTGTCGTAGAACATTTCAAATTAGGATTTACAAAATGTACGTAAATACGAGATGACGGTGAAATGGGAGTTTTTGTAAGAATGTAATTGAAAGTGAATGAAAATCTTGGAACGTCCTGTTAACAAATTTGATTTGACTGAGCAATGATTTCAATAATTTAAATAAGCCAAGGTTCGAGCGGAAATTGTAACAACTGCGTCGACGTAAGCACAAGAATTAAGTAAAAGAGCAAAAACCGAAAAAACTAAATTTAAAACAATTCTGAAGCGAAACAAAAATTAAGAAAAATTCTTGCTGTTGTTATGTGTTCTTGGGTAGACCAAATAATTTAAACACAAAAATTTGCATGAGCAATCTCGTACAATGATTGCTCTGTATTCTTCTCCTGTGCGCCACTGACTTAAGACAATCTTACAATCTGTAAATCGTCTTGTTCGCTGAAATCATCTTGTAAAAACTGGTTAAATGCAAGTGTCTGTGTGAATTTATTAGCTATGTAAGGGAAACACCTATATAACGCTGTAACAATGTATAGTAACGTCATATGCAATCAATTGGTTAAACGGATCTTGTGTCTCAAAAAGCAGTGAAGTGTAGCAAATGACTATATGTAAAAGACCAGAAAAGTTGTCTTTAAGGTCAATACTGATTTGACATTATCAGGCTTCAGAAAGCTAGCGCTAAGAAGTTGACAAGTTTACTAAAAAGTAAAGGTAGTCTGGTTAATTTTTGTTATAAGATGCTTTCTTTTTACATCTATTACTCGCACTTTTACAATTAACGTAAATCGAGTTAATTAAAGAACTACTGTCTTGCCGTAGTAGGAGGTTTAATTTCAATACGCTTTGTCGTAGAACACTTCAAATTAGGATTTACAAAATGTACGTAAATACGAGATGACGGTGAAATGGGAGTTTGTGTAAGAATGTAATTGAAAGTGAATGAAAATCTTGGAACGTCCTGTTAACAAATTTCATTTGACTGAGCAATGATTTTTAATAATTTAAATAAGCCAAGGTTTGAGCGGAAATTGCAACAACTGCGTCGACGTAAGCACAAGAATTAATTATATAAGCATAAACCGAAAAAATAAAACTAAAACCATTCTGAAGCGAAACAAAAGTTAAGACAAATTCTTGCTGTTGATGCGTGTTCTTGGGTAGACCAAATAATTTAATCACAAAAATTTGCATAAGCAATCTCGTACAATGATTGCTCTGTATTATTCTCCTGTGCGCCACTGACTTAAGACAATCTTAAAATCTGTAAAATTTTCATGTTCGCTGAAATCATCTTGCAAAAACTGTTTAAATGTAAGTGTCTGTGTGAATGTTTAGCTATGTAAGTGAAAACATTCAGCACCTATGTATCACTGTAACAATATATATTAACGTCATATGCATTCTCCTCTTTCTCCAATTATTCCCCGATGGTTATCCATTCAATAATTAGTTACTCACTGTATACTCCCTGTCTTTTTTTGTTTATTCTCCAATCAATTCCGACAAACATTCCCCAGTCACGCATCACTGAATAATTTCCAATGACATGAAAAGAGACACATTTGAATCCAGACGTATATTTATGGTTGTGCATTTCTCTATAATCTGTATATTTAAAGTCGATTAGCAGAAGTTTAATATACCAAACAAAATTGGCCAATTGGCATCGTACCATCAACGAAGTCAAGTACATAGAAGCGTCGGCGATGTGGTGATTGTTGGTAACCGCTGTTCAGCTTCAAAACATATGTTTACTTTGTTTGGTAGTTTTTCAAGTTTCAAGAAATTAGGCTTGTGCAAGTGCACAAAAATGGAAAATTTTTGGTGCAGTGTGGTAGCCAGTGTAGCAAAAAAAACACTTGAGGTGAATACACTTCAATTCATTTTCTCGGTCGTTGCTCTTTGTTTGTCTTAGCAACATATTTTATTCATTTGCATTAAATTGTATATATTACTTACATATTTGAACAATTTTGATTTGGAAACTGTATATCCACATAAAAATGAAATACCAACAACTTGGAGTTAGACATTATGGGGTGTGTATTAAACCTGGTTTTCTTATATTCGTCAAAAGACACTTAGACTACGTTTAAACTACTCTGAAACGAAAAAGTGACGGCCCAATTTGAATGATTACTGATCTTTTAAATTCCTGTAAAGTTTTGTGGCTGTTTTCACATAATGTCATTGGATTTTAAAATTCGAGGTTTTTTGTGAATGAATAACGCTGTTTCTCTTTTGCACTTTGCTATATGGTTATATCTCTAGCCTCGTGTAATAAAAAATTGATTTAATGAAAATTATTTCAGTTAACGTATAGTCTTAGTAAAGAATATAGCAACGTGCCATGTCAGCGTTTATAACTCTCTTTATAATAAAGACAAGTTGATTCGGAAATAAACGATGCACGATTAAGGCCAATGTTAATATTCATGACGTACTTTCTTTCACAGTGCACTTATGTGATTGATGTTCATCTCACACGCAAACTCTTTTTAATTTATCAACTGCTGCAAATGCCATAACTAATATATTCGCTCCAATTCCATCATCCACAAGTCACCTTATGAATTTTAGACAAAATTATTGCTGAAACTTTCTAACGCTTGGAAACAGGGTCGTAACTACAGAGGATGCTACACTCCCCAATGTTATAATATTGCAACTTTGATGGAAACTTCCAGACTTTAAGTCTGATACTCGTCGGGCAAAGCATTTACGAATGAGTTCTGAAAAATGCACAAAAAGAGCATTTTGCGCTACTGAGCTTTTTAGCTTCACATAATCACCAGTCATAAATATCAAACGAATTTTGAGCGTAATTGCTACAACTAGCTGTTACTATCAGTGGCATAACTAGAACGTTAATTGGGGTGCGTGTTGCATATTAATATATTCCGTTGTGCCCTACTGATTTCTTTTGAAAGCAATTTGAATTTCAAAGTATAAATTTCTTGTTATTTTTGACGTTCCGTTAAATGGCATGTGTTAAAACCTGGACTTGACTCTGGACTATGAAATGCGGACTGTGACTTATTGGCCTGTGGAATATGGACTGTTGACTATTAAACAATTAATTGGATGAGGTTGAGCATGACATCAAGAACAATTCAAGTTCTATGTTATCTGCCAAAGCTATTATTCATTTTAACTGAAATATTGTTAAAATATATCAATATAAAACATTTTTCAAACCTTCGCTTATTTGTTTTTGTAAGACGATTTATTGAAGTTATTCTCGTAAATTTGTTGTAGATATGTTCAATGACAGCTTAATTGCTTTTTTAGTGTTTAATTTCTGCATCCTTTTTGTTTAAAAGCTTTCACATCGCTTTTAGAAACTGTGGCAAACATCGCTGTTGTTTCATTTTTTTCAAAACTGGCTCTTAAAGGCGTCCACAATTGTAGAAACTATTATTTGTAGATAAGACGTCATACCTACAAATATTGAGAATTCTTTGCAGGTAGTTGACCAATCAAAAGAGTGAATGAAAATGACTATTGACTGTAAAATAGATTTGTCATAAAGGTTGCCACTTTTTCGCGCTTGTAATTCACGTAATGCTTGCGCATTGCTAAGAGTCACAACTCCCCTGCTTTGGAAATCGTAGAGAGCCTCCTCAATTATTTCAGCAAACGCTTCTAATAATCATTTCAAACTTAGGTGACGTTATTCTTACGCTGTTGTGGCTGACATATTTAAAGACGTTTGAACATTAGATCTTTAAGAAAATGCCAGGTAAGTTGTAAAATTACAAGGTTAATAAGAGTTAGACAACACATATTTATTTACATTCATTCACGATATAATTTTGGGCCACACCTCAAATCAGAAATATTTAGCATCGGTGTAAAATGTATTTTGTGCATTTATAGGGCTTAATCTTGGATTTAAATTATTTGCTGAAAAATTTGGACAAGAAGAGCTTGAGAAGAGGATAAAAGATGAGCACACGGTAAATATTGTCTTTTTTGATATACATAACGACCGTCCTTTCTTTAAAGAAATTTAGAAAAAATATTGGCATGTTTCACGTAAAGGGCCAGCATTAAAATTAGAGTTTTATTGAAAAGGAGTCATGAATGGCAATGAATTTTTTTAAATAGTTTAGTCAAATTTCATTGCATTCTCAATATATTAAAGTTTTGTTATGTCCGATTTATTAAGGAAGTGACGTCACATTGCATAATCATCATTATTCAATGTGACGTCACCTTCTTAATAAATCCGACATCACAAAATTTCAATATTTTGGGAATGCAAAGAGAAATGACTATACACTGTGTTAGAAAGTCCACTGTCATTTTACAATGTCATGCAATAAAAGTATGATTTTATATTAAATTGTTCGTAATATACTAGCCTTTCAAATGAAATATATAGAAAATAATTTGCATCTGCAAGGGTAAAGAGAGTTTTGTTTCATGTTATGATTTGAAGTTATTTTTCTCTTGAAACTAAATATAAGGGTAAACAATTTTGTATTTTATTTTGTCATCTTTTCGGATAAAATATTGTTTAATGACTGAGCTTTTTAAGTATAAAACCTAGGGTATAAAGCAAAAAAATTCTAGATTAGCTTGGGCATTACGATTCATTGCTAAAATTAGCTTGTAGTGGTTACATAATCTAAAATTACAGCGAAATCTCTGTCGAAGTAATGCTTATTTTACTGAAAATATCTCGTACTTTCAAACTTTATCTTGTGTCTCTGTTGTGGTAAAAATATTTTTGGGCTATAATGAACAGGTCAGGTTGAATGCGTTTCTTTTCTTTCTTTAAAGCCACCGCGAAAAGGATCAATATTTGGAGAACTTAAATTGAACTTTCAAAAATTGAAGTTTGAAAGTATATTCACGTTAGCAACAACACTTAATGGATTCCGCCGAGCAACACATACTGTTGGAACTGGAGGTGTTGGCACAATAAAGATTGTTGACAATCCAAAATTTCCAGAACATGAATTTTTTAAAGCTGGTGAGAATTAATTCACATTTTCTTTTACTTTTCTTTGCGATCTTTAGTTTTGGTTGCCTGTTAACTTAAAGTAAGAATTCGTACATTTATTTAAAAATCATGATAGTTTGATATGATTTCTTTATTTCATAACAAATATATGTTTTATATGAGCAATCATGTACATTTTAAATCTGTTGGCGGTGCTCGTAGTATGTAATTGGGTAAGAACACTTTTGCATTGAATATCTTAAAAAGTATATGTAGTTGTCTTTTTTTATTACACATCAGTATTCTTACAATTTGATTATTTAAGCGACGACATTGAAGGGCCCCAAAGAAGGGCTCTATAAATTATGCTTTCTTTAATGGGGAAGATGTTCGATTTACGAGCACCCTTCTTGTTGTAAGAAAGACGTAAAATGTTATGTGAAAAATTTAAATGAACTTTTACATGAAAAGCTTTCATTGTCTACTGATATCAGAAAGATCATGAAAACCATGCATTTATAATAATTTAAAAGGTAGAAATACGGTGCATTAAGTTCATACCATGGATTGAGGCAAGTTATTGAAATAATTAACTAAAAAATTTATAGAGGCTTACAAAAGCATGCTTTTGATGATCGCACACAAAAATAATGCAGTTTATTTTTTAAATTTTCTTTTTTCTAATTTTATTCACGATGTGACATGGTTCACAAGCAACTTTGCTTTTATACTCATCACAGAGAAAAGGAATGAATGTGTAGCTATAACGGCAGAGCCACGCAGATGAATTAGAAAACTACATATAGTACTAAAGCTACTTATGACACATCGAAGATAGTATTGTTTGTAAAAACTTAAAAGGGGATAACAGTATTTTTGAACAAATAGGTCGCCAATTCAATGCAAGGTTGCGACATGGAAATCTCAAATTCACTGATGATGCTGGAGCTGATGCCAGATCATTTTCAATAAAATTTGAGGACGCCGATGACATAAGTCCTTTGGATATCGTCATGAATACAGGCGAGGCCAATATCTTTTGGGATGTCAGCAGTTTGGACGACTTTGTTCCAGTAAATGAAGGAGAAACTGCAAAAGAATACGTCTATAAAAATCCTTACTAGTAAGTGTTTGTATCACCAGATGTGCAGCCGAAAGTTTAAAAATAAATAAAGCTGTGCAACTTCATTTAGTTTAGACATATCATTTACTTATGCATCACTTTATTTATTAACCTGCCAGCAGTAGGGTAGCCAGCCTGCAGATTTACTACAGCTATGTAAATTTTAAATAATTATTATCATTAATTTCACTAGAAATATATTGTTCTCACTGTCAGCTAAAACAAAAATAGTTGCGTAGCGAGAGTAAAGAGTCGGGCTGGCTACGCTACAGCCTGCAAGAAAAAGAACGAAGAAAAATCTTTACATTTTTCTTTATTCTAGTAAATTTTCAAAATGAAACTAAAAATCTGCTCAAACCATCCTAAATAAAACATTTTTATAAAGATCATGGTTCTTGCACGTTTTCGTATTGGTATAGAAACTTATTATGGACTATATTCACCATGCATAATTCAAACCTGAAACCTGAAATATTGATCAATCGAAACATTGTCTGTTTTGATAGTTACTACAATTTGGTGGAGGCACTGCGTCGAGCACCTGACTCATTTGCTCATCTCTACTATTATTCTCAGTTAACCATGTATTTCAAAGCAAAAGATGGTAAAGTTCGATATTGTAGATATCGAGCAGTTCCAGGTGACGTAGAAGTAAAAGAGGAAAATGCAAGCGGAAGGCTGACTGAAGAAGAACAAAGAAATATCTGGTTTGTATTTCGACATTTATAAAAAGTAATGTTCTACGATGCACATATATATCATTTCTTTACCGAGAACAACTTTGTTTGCATAAATGTACCCATCTTTCACGGTGAATATATATATATAGAATCTAGAAAAGTTATTATATCTTGGTATTTTACAGTGATTAAGATTTGAAACTTGAGGAACTGAATTTGCATCATAAATTATCAATAGCAATTTATACTTATTATAAAACTAAAGAAGTCAACGACAACAACATTTATCAATTTCAGAAAGCATTGTACAAAGCATTCTGCATCACCCTGGATCATTTAAGCTGACATATGCATGACGGGGGTCCATGTTCAACATTATTTCTATCAAATACAATGAAATTTTGATTAGGATTTTTAGTCGTCACGAGAACGAGAAGCGACCAGATGACTATCTTCGTAAGGAATACGTTGAACGCCTGAAAAATAAACCGGTTACCTATCGCCTGCAAATCCAAATTCACGATCAATCCCCTGAAGACACAGCAACTATTTATCACGCAGGAATCTTATGGGATAAGGAAACACATCCATGGCTGGATCTAGCCACTGTTACCATAAACACTCCATTATCCCCAGATGTACTAGAGCGGTTAGTTGTGTTATTAGCTTTGCAACAAACAAACTGACGTCAATACAACTGTTTCTTCTTTGATTTTGGCAAATGGCAATTGCCAAACAAGTATGAAAACAATACCTACGTAAACTGTGTTTGACTTTTTTAAGAATTTTTTAGTGTAATGAATTTTTATCAAGCAAACAAAAATATAATATAGTTCGAAATTTACTTTGCTATTTGTATTATGTACGTATGGTATTTATAAGCATATTATATAGTAAACTTTACCTTTGGTCTTTCGCAAATAGTAAACAAAATATATACTACTTTTACATTGATCAGTAAATAATATCAGTTTATAATTACGTTTAGTACGACTTTCAATATCGAGCGTCAGCCGGAATCACTGGGATTGTTAAAAGCCGAGTCGCCGGAAGATTACAACAGCATCGGCCAAATACGTGTTGAGGTGTACAACCATGTACAGATGCTAAGGAAAATGAAGATGGGCACTCTAACTCCAGCTAATGACAATGCTCTTTACGCAATTCAAATTGAAACTGGTAAACGAGAGGGTGCTGCTACTGATGCCACTGTATATATCAGATTAACTGGTGAGAAGATAAATTCATCATTTATAACACATATGTACAACTTTAAATATGCAAGTATGACGTAAGAAATCAATATCCCGTGTATTTAAGCTTATTGGTGCAGTCCACATATACTGACCTGACTACGAAATTTGAATGTTTATTGTTTAGGCCCAAAAGGTCGCACAGATTACTTGAAACTTGACAAATTGTTTCACAACGACTTCGAACGTGGAAGTAATGACCTCTATAGAGTGGAAGCATTTGATGTTGGTGATGTCCAACTTGTAGAACTTAATGCCCGTCCGTCTTGGATTCCATTGACGTCTGAAGACCCTGACTGGTTTGTAGAAAAGGTACAATTTGATGTAGATTTTTTTCTTTGTCCAGTAGTTGAAAATCTCGATTTATTTATTTCGTCAAGTGCAGTGCTAAGAAATATCACATTGATCCTGTTTGACTCATACATACTCCCTAGGAATCTTTTACACTTAGTTTATGTTCCCTACAGGGATTTAGCGAGTTTTGTATTCCTCTTAATGACAGGAATCAAATTTAGTTTTGTCTTGTATCCGTAAGTTGAATCAATGAAACTTTAGATTTTGTGGGGTTTTTTCTAGGTAACTATTAAGAGCTCAACCCAAAGTGGTGTATTTGCTTTCCCGTGTTACAGATGGGTAATCAATGAAATTGTTTTGTTGCCTGGAGAAGGTACATATATCGCAATGTACATTTGTTATTTTAATCAGAGTTTTCTTTGATTTGTTTTCTTTATCGTTGTTGATGAAGTGGAAGAGTAGAATAAAAAATGTCTCAAATTTCATTCCAAATACTTCATTTTAGCGTGTCATCTTGGTGAAATATTTGATAAGCTAGAGTCATTTTATGTTTCAAAATTGCCTCAACACCTTTCAAAAATTACCCTGTGAAAAAGTAGCATCACGCCACTTACTCCTCTCTCTTCCCCACCCCACAGTAAAATATTGATTCTGAATATATCATTTCGTAGTTACTATCTTACAGTAAAGTGAAAAAGAAATTCGTGAAAATTATTTACTTTGTCCCAAACAATAATGAAAAGTTACCTATTTGTGCAATAAAAAACAAACGAAGCTATTCATAAAATTCGTTATACAGTTTGTAAATAAGGATGGCTTGAAAATTAAAAATGACTCAGCAATCAAACCAGCAAACTTGCATAAAGCAAACTAGTAAATGTTGTAGTTAAATGTGCTAGTTCAACGAAGTGTAAAATTAAAACTTCAGTTAAAAACTCTAAAATATTTCTATACCGTGTAGCAACTTTACCATTCCATGATATGCCACCGGTAGTTGCCGAGCAACGCCAAAAAGAACTAAAGCAAAGAAAGGAAATATATCAATGGGATTGGGTAACAGAGCACATGCCTGGGAGTATTAAAGCTGAAACTCATGACGATCTTCCTAGAGACGTCCAGTTTACTGATGAAAAATCAAGGTCAGAGCAGAGAAATATAAACTGCGAAAGCATTATTAAATTGGTGTTGTTGTACTTGTTTATGTGCATAAACATGTTAATTGTTGAACATATTATTTAATAATAAATCTGTGCACTTTTCAAAAAATAAGTCCAAACTCAACCACCGTAGAGTTAAATTTTTACAATGAAGTTATACAATGTGTTACTGACGCAACCCTGGCCATTTTTATTTAAAAATTCGAAGGGAATGGTGTTACCTATATAATGTATCTGATGTTATGCTAATTATGTTAATAACTGTATTTACACACTGAACTCTCAAAAAATTTTTAATAGATGATGGTATGGATGTTTTGATGGAATATATTATCACAAAAGCAAATATTTTCATCCCTGCTTATTCATGGCCTTTGATAACTCGACTATATATGACTAAATAGATAATATTAATCTCCAGCTATGTTGTAAAATAAGCTTTATATCGCACATCAGCAATATTATGTTCAAAAAATTCTATTTATATACTTACCAGATCCTATAAGAGGAGCAGATTGACTGCTTTAGCCAATTTGGGCATCGGTAAAGTTGCAACGCTATTTGAAGATTGGGACAGTTATGACGATTACAAAAGTCTATATCACGAATGGCTACTAGGTGATCTTCCAGCTTATGAAAGCTCCTGGGATCAAGATCGCTGGTTTGCCTACCAGTTCTTGAATAGTGCTAATCCAGTTAGTATCACACGATGTGACGCTATACCAAGCAAATTCCCCGTAACTGACAATGATGTCAAGGCGTTTCTTGATAGAGGAAACACTTTGCAACAAGAAATAAAGGTTAGAAGCTCATATATGTTGTACTTGTGATACTTTTACATTGAGAAGTGGTTTCAAATTCATGAATAACTCCACCGTTTTATATGTTGGTTACAGCACAATAAAAGATCTGAATACTTACTTTGAATCTACATTTTGGCACTGTTGCTACATCACTATGGAAACTCCTTAGCTAAAATGGACTTTAAATTACAACCTTCTTACACAAAATATGATATTTAAAGTTTATAATAACACTTTGCTGTCTCACGATGCATAGTTTTCCAAATTGGTGCTATAAGAAAACATATTCTATAGACTTATGAAATCTTGCTAAGATAGACAAATATGCTCAAAAAACATTATGTCATGTTATAAACATTTGTCTTAAAAATGTTTCGTCATGCTGTCAAGCAGCATTACGAGGCATCATTTCTCCATGCATGCACCGATCGACAATATTTTTAAAGTTAAGTATACTTAACATCCCTGAAACGATTATTTAACTGCTCACACAGCTTACGTTTAAAAAGAAAAACATGAGGGATTTAATATATATATATAACCGTACATCCTGTGTCCCAAATGCATGAGTCACCATTGCACTATGATGATAGCCGTGAGGGCACATTGTATATACATTTTGTATATACTCAGAATTGTCGTATTTTATTAATAAGTATAACAATTTTGAATTATTTTATCTAGAATGGCCATATTTATATTGTTGATTATGAAATTTTGGTTGGATGTAAAACATATGGTGGACCTGTTCTTGATGATTTTGGTTACCAAGCTCCTGATCATCTTAAACATGATAAAGCTGATGTAAGATACTGCGCAGCCCCACTTGCTCTATTCTATGTGAATAAAGAAGGGCATCTCATGCCAATAGCAATCCAAATTAATCAAGAGCCAGGTCCTGAGAACCCAATATGGACGCCACACGAGCCAAACCCATATGATTGGATGCTAGCAAAGCTTTGGCTTCGCGTTGCTGAATCTAATTTCCACCAGGTTCGTTTATCTGAGTTTACACAGCAAACTACGGACTATTTTTTCAGCTACATAATTTATCTGCACAAAGATAACTTGAACATTAAAGTGCATTCTTTTTAAGTGAAAAACTTGTTAAATATTGCACAAGCATTTTATGGCAGATAATTGAAGTATTTAACGTCTTTTTTTAGCTTTGTACGCATTTACTGCGCACTCACTTAACAACTGAACCATTTGCATTGTCAACATGGCGTAATCTTTCATCAGCTCATCCAATATTTAAGTTACTTCAACCTCACATCTATGGAGTGCTAGCCATTGATACTATTGGCAGGAAAGAGTTGATTGGTACAGGAGGAATTGTTGACCAGTCTCTGTCACTCGGAGGTGGTGGTCACGTGACGTTCATGGAGAAATGCTTTAAGCAGGTTTGTTGCCTCTTTTATGAATATAACATCAATCCAATTTTCCAAATAAAATTGTATTGAGAAATCATTTGGCAAAACGTTTTCATATGTTAAATTTCCCTTCAAAAGACCACCACTCCATTTGCCTTTATTAGACCACATTTCAGGATTACAATTTACCAAAGAATCTAAAGAAACGTGGAGTTGATGATACATCGAAACTTCCTGAGTATTATTATCGTGACGACGGACTCGCCCTGTGGGAAGCTATTGAAAAATTTGTAGGTGAAATAGTTGGTATTTTCTATAACAGTGACGACGACGTCAAGAAAGATGATGAAATTCAAACTTGGATACTTGATGTTTATAAAAATGGCTGGCGTGAAACACTTGGAAATCCAACCCACGACCTTCCAGCTAAGTTTGAGTCTCGAGAGCAACTTGTAGAATTGTTGACTTGTTTGATATTTACGTTTTCTTGTCAACATGCAGCAGTAAACTTCAGTCAAAAAGATCATTATGGTTTCACACCTAATGCTCCTGCTATCATGCGTAAGCCACCACCAAACAAGAAAGGAGAAGCAACATTAAAGTCCATTCTATCAACTCTTCCAAATAAATCTCAGGCAGTCAAGGCAATATCGACAGTTTATATTTTGACTAAGTTCTCAGAAGACGAGGTATTAATTTGCTTACGTGTTATTGATTTGAGAGAATTGCTTGAACCCCAATGAGGTTTTTTATGTTCAAGTAAGAATCGAAATATTTTATAGAACAGTTATATCACATTCGCAAAGTATATTCGTTTTTTAAAGCAGTTTTGGCTTTTTAGTTACTCATAATCAAAAAAATAGTATATAAGATTTGTTTGTCTTCAGGACATGTCAAATTTTTTTATTTTGTGAGCTTAATTTAATTGCTTTAAATTTTACGTACGTATTTCATATTGTTGCCTAAATAACAATTTCATATTAAGATTCTAATGGAAAACTAGCAGTATTAAAATAATAAATAAAGTACTTCTGTTTTTTAGCGTTATTTAGGTAATTACAGTTGCACCGCTTGGCAAGATTTGGAAGCACTTGGTGCCATATCACGATTCCAAGACAATCTGGAGGATATTTCTGAGAAAATCAAAAAACGAAATAAAGTTTTGGAAATTCCATACATTCATCTTCTTCCTGAACGTGTTCCAAATGGAACAGCAATTTAAACCTCACTCATTTTTTTACTGAATTCTTATTTTTTCACGTACTTGGAATTTTTACTCATTTCTTGATTAGCTTTTAAGCAACATTAATTAAATTTGAAAAACATGATCATGTTTAATGCGTTGTTGTTTTGCTGTCTTATGGATATCTTCGTTTATAACATTAAACACAACAGTACGTGATGGTGTATTTTCAGTCCGAGTCTACTCAGGCTAATTTCAAGTTCCAATTTTGCATTAAGTATCATTTTTTCAAAAGGGAGTTTTCCTCTTGTAAAGACTCGGCTAAATAGACTGCAGTTATAGTTTGTACAGTAATATTACATAATGGATCTTTTAAACAAAACGAGTGTCACAAAAAAGTTTCTTGCTTTGTTTCAAAAAGTACAAAAAACTAATCAGAAATTGCTATCTAAGCCACATCTTATGAGATGCAATTTAAAAAAGGTAGCAGAAACTAAAAAAATAGCGCAAAACATCAAATAAACCTGTACGCAATGTACTGAAGAATAGTTCTACAACATGCGTTGATCACAAAACAGACAATTTTGTGTGAACAAATAGCACGAAACATTAACTGACATGTACGGAATGTACTGAAGTATAGTTCTACAACTTGCATTGATCTCAAAACAAATAATTTTGTGTGATAAAATACCACGAAACATCAACTAAACCTTTACGCATTGTACTGAAGTATAGTTCTACAACTTGCATTGATCACAAAACAGACAATTTTGTGTGAAAAAATAGCACGAAACATCAACTAAACATGTACGAAAGGTGCTGAAGTATAGTTGTATAACTTACATTGATCACAAAACAAACAATTTTTTGAGTATTTGACACTAGCTGCACCGCTAAAATCAATTGAGGGAAGCGTACAATGAAACATCATATGCATAATTGTTTTGTGTTCATGAAAACAGCTTAGTTGATACGACAGGACATCACATTTGTGGGTACAGAATTTAGTCGATACGACTTCACACCATACTTGTAGTACAGTCATAAAGAAGTTAATACCACTGCAGACTGCAGCATTTGGACTTCATTAAGAGAAAAAAGCTATTCAATAAGTTAATCAATCAAGAACCAGGTCCTGAAAATCCGATATGGACGCCTCACGAACAAAACCCTCATGATTGGATGCTTACAAAGTTTTGGCTTCGTGTTGCTGAATATAATTACCACCAGGTTTGTTTATCTGAGTTAACTCAGCAAACTTCTATAATGTTAAGCGCTACAAAATTTTTCTACAAAAATATGTGTTTGATTGTAGTGCCGTCTTTTAATGCAAAAAAAACCTGTAGAATATTATGGAAGAATGTTACAGTAGACCAATAGACGTATTAAGGTCATAGGAAAAGCGAAATAATATTTATTTTGTAACTTTGTACGCATTTTCTGCGCACTCACTTAACAACAGAACCGTTTGCAGTGTCAACATGGCGTAATCTTTCATCAGCTCATTCCATATTTAAATTACTTCAACCTCACATGTATATGGAGTGCTAGCCATTAATACTATTGACAGGAAAGAGTCAATTGGTAAGGGAGGAATTGTTGACCAGTCTCTCTCACTTGGCGGTGGTGGTCACGTGAAGTTTATGGAGAAATGCTTTAAACAGGTTTGTTGCTTCTATGCTTTATTGAATACTGGAGGCAAAATTTCAGCATTTCACAATTTTATGAAAATAAAATCGATCTTTGATTTTATTTTTGCTCTCGCTATTTGTTATCTCTCTGTCAAAAAGTATTTGTCATACTATTGTTTTAAAACCATTGTTGTGATTTGACAGGAGCTAATATACAATATGCCATTTCCAAAACAAATACGTACTTTATTTCTATTTATAAACATATAGACACATCATACATGACATTTTCGGGAGATATTTCATTTGATTTGAAGTGTTTTCAATTAAAATTTTTACTATGTGAGTCATTTATAATTTAGTCTCATTACATAGTTTGTACGATATGTACTATGAAACATATTTTTAGTCCGTGTTTGCTTCTTTTTTTGCTTATGATATGCTAGTGAGAGGAAATAGTAACTTTGACCAGACTATGGCATTGGTCGACATAAAACAATTTAAAAAAGGAATTTTTCAAAAGCCTTCCAACAACAGCGAAATAAGTATTTGTCACAAATACATTCTTCCACTATAAATAGTTTGAGGAAAAAAATATTTTTAAAACCTTAAAAAAACTTATGCATTTTGTAGCAAAATACTTTCAGTTTGGCAAAACATGTTTGCACGTAAAATTTAATTTCATAAGTTTGGAAGAGAAAATACTATTACGGACATCAGGTCAAAAGTCAGAGGGTTTTCGAAGGAGTCGGGGAAGATACATGAGGAGACGTTTTATAGTAGCGGTTGAAAAAGGAGACAAGTTGACTTTATTGCCGATAAAGCTTCATGAATATAATGTTTATTGAAAGGAGTCGTAGCACAAGCTGAAAAACAGAGAGAAAAAATCAGATGGTTTCACAAAGTGTCTGCTGACTGTATATTACCGAATGAAAGCCAATAAACTTTTGACTTAGATGTAACCTTTTACCTTTATTAGACCACATTTCAAGATTACATCTTACCAAAGACTCTAAAAAAACCTGGAGTTAATGCTTCATCAAAACTTCCTGAGTATTATTATCGTGACGACGGACTCGCCCTCTGGGAAGCCATTCAAAAATTTGTAGGTGAAATCGTTGGCATTTTCTATAAAAGTGATGACGACGTCTACAAAGATGATGAAATTCAGATTTGGATACTTGATGTTTATGAAAATGGTTGGAGTGAGACACTTGGAAATCCAACCCACGGCTTCCCAGCCAAGTTTGAGTTACGAGAACAGCTTGTAGAATTGTCAACTACTTTGATATTTACCCTCTCTTGTCAACAAGCAGTAGTAAACTTCAGTCAAAAGGATCATTATGGATTCGCACCTAACGCTCCTGCTATCATGCGTATGCCACCACCAAACAAGAAAGGAGAAGCAACCATAAAGTCCATTCTATCAACTCTTCCAAATAAGTCTCAGGCAGCCAAGACAATATCGACAGTTTTTATAACGACCAAGTTTTCAGAAGATGAGGTATCGATTTTCTTACGTGTTATTCATTTTAGACAATTGTTTGAATTCCTGTGATTATTTTTTTCTCTCCAAGTAAGAGTTGAAGAAATTTTGAAAGGAACAGCTCTATTACATTCACAAAGTATATTCGTTTTTTAATGCAGTTTAGGGTTTCTAGTTACTCATGTTCATGAATGGTGGGGTTTAATCGCTGTCTTCAATTTTCAATTTACATTAAGTTACTTTGGTTTATGTATTTAATTTACTTGCTATAAACTTTACGCACAGAGTTTATATGTCATGGTTTAAATAACGATTCGTTAAGAATCTATTTCAAAACTCTTTTAAAAATAATATATTTTTAGCGTTATTTAGGTAATTACAGCAGCACGGCTTGGGAGGATTTGGAAGCCCTAAGTGCCATATCACGCTTCCAAAATAATCTGGAGGATATTTCCGAGAAAATCAAAAAGCGAAATAAAGATTTGGAAATTCCCTACATTCAACTTCTTCCTGAACGTGTTCCAAACGGAACAACAATTTGAACTTTTTTCAACTCATATCTATTTTTTCGACACACTTACTAGATAACTTGTTAAAATTTAATTTGGAAAATTTTTTCAAAAACGTTTTAGCTACTCACTATTCGAATTTAATTTGGAAAATTTTTTACTCATTATACACTTATTCCACCTGTTAAATAGCATAAATAAACTTTGAAAAAATATTCATGTTTATTTGTTTCTAGTTAAGTTAGCGATAACAAACTCAGAATACGTTGTTTATAAAATCAAACATTCTGGTGGAAGAGAATTGTCAAAAGTCATGCTCTTACCAATTCATAGTAGTTTCAAGTTTAAATGTAAAAATGAACAACAAATACACAGAAGTCATATGAGTTTCAATTTAACTATAAGGGAGAAAGTTTTATAGTTTTACTTTGTCAAATTTAATGTTTTGATTAAAAGGTTTGTCTCCAGTGAACATAATTAAATTAAAAAAAACTTACTATAGTAAGAAATTTAGGATCTATTGACTAGGTCAAAAGTGTCTCTAAGGCTTTAATGTTTATTCAACTTACCTTTTAGCTACCAAAGCTGATATAGCAGTTGCAGTGCTTTTACAAGTAACATCTACAAATCCAAGCTGCCTTTCAATGATACTTCACTTTTTATCCATGTGAAAAATCATACTGGCACTGCTCTTTGTTCGAAACATCAGTTGTCTTATTAACCTGAAAACATACAAAAGTAAATCATCCATCACTTTGAAAATTTCATTATATTATCAAGACAACCAATAAAACCTTTTACATATCTTGAGTTTGTTTATGTTGTTCATTGTGCTGCCCATCAGTCTGACTCTTGTGTTGTTGCTTGGAAGCTGCATCTCCGATTTTACGTGTGAATATTATCTTTGTAAATGTTATAGTCTATATAACTATACTTGCAAATCGCCATTTTATCCTGTCAAGGAATGACAAATGAGAAATGAAATCAAAGTCAATACATTGTTATCATTGGTTGCTTTTGTTTAGTCATTGGTAGGGAAGTGTATAGATGCCAGAACAACAATGTCTTGGTCGAAGTATTTTAAAACGGCGAGATACATAAAGTCTGACTAGTAGACAAACATAAAGAGCGTTTAAGTTGAGTGTATAGTTGCCTAGTTTGTAATCAAGTACCGTGAAAGCGCTCGAGTCGTTTTCACGATTTTTTATGTTGCAATAACGTTTTGATGGTGTACACTAAAGTTACCTTAGACTCTTGCCTTTTAACTTGTGACACTCAACTTCCCTATTTTGACTCTTGACTTAATAATTTCGACAGTCGAACCTCGTCTTTTAGATATACTCGTTTGACTCTATGTAAAGTACTAACTAGTCATTGAAGTACACCGGTTTATTATCAGCATTTTGCATTAAAAATTTGTAAGAAGCTGAATCCACAAAAGTTCATCCAAAACATAGTCCGCGTCCGCCAGTCCGAGTTTGCATTTTATCAACACCACATGTAGTTGATGCATCTTCTCAAGTCATATGCCAGTACTTTTTATTTTGATAGGATAAACTCGTAATTATTCATATTGAGATGGAAAAAAGTCTTTGTATTAAGATGAATTTTGCATGTACGTGGCTTCTTGTTTTGACTTGAAATCCGATCTGCACTCCAAAGTTCATATAATATGCATTTACTCCGTAAACAGATAGACATCACAAAGTGATTTACATTAATGTTGAAGGTACGTTTGTAATGATTTATGGCGAAGCATGTAATCTGTATCAAACGAAAATCAATTGAATATTGTAGCCGCGTTTTTTATTGTTTGCATCGTGATGTGCGCCAAGGAAAATCGAAAATGGTTTCAAATAAAGGTGGCAGTGCTATTCTGTCTGAAGACAATTTTCAGCCATGGCACAGTACACGATGGTTTAAAATCTGGCGGTGCATCGCATGACTTCAAATATGAAACAAACGAACATAGAGCATACGAGAAAAGTGTTTTACTCGGCGAAGAAGAGGAAGGAGCGGGTTATGATGGTCTGACTAGAGAACAAAAAGTAGACAGATTATTGTAAGCATATTTCGAATGTTTGTTTATTATTTGGTGTCGTTTGTCAGGGAATATTAAAGAAATTTCTCCGTTTTCCTAAATTAAGCAAGCAATCAACCATATACGCAACTTTTATGTCATTTGTTATACTTTACCATGGCTCGTTTTGTATACGTGCAAATTAAAATCTATACAACCATGCAGCCTTCGTACACCACTCTTGAGTTGCATGTACGACCACCGAGAGTGTCGATTATGAGGGATTGTTTTGGGGTACATTTATCGGTTCCTCTTTATTACAGAGTTAATTTTCGTCTTAATGTTGATGTCATATTCCTTGAAAAAAGGATTGTCCACGTACGTATACTTGGCCACACTTTTCGCAAAGTCTGGGATTTTTCTCAAAGCTAATTATAAGATGAAACAAAACATGGAAAGAGGCGTAACATCTAACATAGCTAGGTATTGACAAATATATTTTATGCAAAACATCTAAATATGATCGGTGGTATGCCACTTCTTACGAATAATGCCTTCAATTTGATTTTTGTCAGAAAATCTATATTTTCAGCGAACGTAAAGAGTACTCATACCCAGTTTCTGAATAACATGCAGTATACATAACAAAACCATTTGACTCTGATGACTGCCTTTAAGTTTGTCAAAAAGGTCAGTAAACATCAACACCAACAGTCCTTCTCAGGACTCTACTAACCTGAACGATCCACATCCACAAACATGTAAAACCACTGACATTGACCTTAAACTATAGGCGATTTTCCCGTCCAATAACCAAACATATTTTCAGAGTTTTCAACATGCATTCCCTTGCTCCGCTACCTTTCCACCAATTTATTCATAACGCTAACGAGATTGCAAAAAATAAAGTGCAATAAAGATCATTGTTAAAGTTCTTCCTCTAAAATCAAAACAATAGAAATCCAAGCTCTTAGTGTCATTAAAAAAATGACATTTTTCACAATGATTTTAATTCAAAAAGAAATTTATCCACGAATTTCCTCTGTAGTAAAACGTTTACTTGTTTTCTCAACAGAAAAATTGCAAAAAAAATTGATGTTGATAGCAATGGTTTTATAACAAAAGAAGAATTGCAAAAATGGGTTCAAGAAAACCACATGAAATATCTAATACGAAATGCTATAGATTATATCGTTGAAATTGATCTGAACAATGATACCAAGATGTCATTTCAAGAATACGAGGATTCTTATTTTGTACAAGGTAATAAGATTGATGAAAAAGTCATAACAAACATTTTTTTTAGATATTGGACGGATTCGGACCAGCAAGAATTCTCTCGTGAATTTTTGCATTTGAATTGTTATTTACGAATTTGGTTAACTTTCATTGCCAGAATGAAGGAAACTTTGACATTTTGTTAGAATGAATCAAAAATAAGTCATGATGTACTTATTTAGCAATCACAATCCTCGAAAACAAAATTCACCTTATCACATGACATATGAAAAAATTAGCTTTCATTTAAATTACATAAACTTTCATTTCATTTTCTTTTGTGAATCTTAAAATGTAAATTCTAAAGGTACGAACTCTTAATGTCCATTTTTAGCTTCTTTGAGTTTTCTGTAGAGACTTATTGCCTTCGTGAAAGTTTGTAGGTCACCTGAGGCTTACATCAAATATCTGTCATTAATTTACATATTCATATTTCGTGATGTGTACCTTATTCTGCCTCAGTCGAAGACTTGTTTACGCTACATTGTTTTCCTGTAGAAAAGTGCAGTTTTCACCATTTAGCCACATAGACGACGTTGAATGTCGACTAACTACATGCCCTCTGCAGTTTCAACATAAGCATCCATGGAGTTCTTTTTACCTTCTATTTTTTTAAGAAATATCCTTGACTGCAGTTATTTTTAATCCACAGTTGCAAGTTCGTTCAACTACTTCCTCGATACTTTTTTCACTCCCAAACAATGTTCTTTTCTTAGGTCAAATATATAGCTTTGATATAACACTGACTGCATATGCCACTGATATTTTTGTCGTTGTCGCTGTTGCAATTTATGTCAGCCTTTGTCTTTTAGCCAATAGCTTGTTCGTGCCAGCTCTTATGAATCTTATCGGTTTCCTCCTTTTCCTCATTAGGTTTATAGCAACACACATTGTACCTGTCAGAAGTAGAAACTGCCTTACTATTTGCCATATAAAATCAATTCAGTATGATCTCCACATACTTTCCCTGCGACACGAGCATCGTTTCGGCTTTTCTGTTTTGTTTCGTAGACATTAATTTATTATACGTAACAAAGTAAATTGCTTCTTGAAATGCTGACACAGGAGATCTTTTTTCAGCATTCAGCTTTGGTAGATTGATGTCATTCAATGTGGCAAATATTGCCGTCAATGTGCATACAGCTATAATCATGTAAATACACTGATAACAAAACCTTTGACATTTAAGGTATTCCAGGGATACCGAAAACCTATAGAAACACAACAAGGTATCGACATGGGAAGCGCCGCTTTGAATATGCAGATCTCAACAAAGATGGTCATTTGTCCTTACACGAGATTGTATATTTCCTTAATCCTGAAGAAGGCAAGCATATGAAAAAATGTCTCGTTCTGGTTAGTTACGTCATCATATTTATCAGATTTACATGCATTTCCAATAAACTATTACCAAAATTTCAAGCTCCTAAGGCTATTCTCTACTTGGCGGAATTTCAGTGCGCATAATAATGTGCGTGATTGGCAGATGATGTCATCATTATTTTTTGACAACCAACATGTCGCAAATTAAACCTGGTGGAATATAGGCTTTACCGTTTCGTTGGTCGTTGATTTTTTAATGCTGCGTACGTAGTTGTACGAGCTGTAAGGTTTCAAACATATTGCTAATAAACAGAATCAAACTTTATTATTCATCCACATCAGAAAAGCATCTTTTAACTTCCTCAATTGAAAATGCATACTAGCAATGCAATCTCATTACCTGGACTTTTTACGTATGTCATTAAATTGATATATATTTTATTTCTTTTCAAATGACAAAAATATAATGCAGCCAATAACTTAAAGACAGAGTGTGACAGTGACGTCAGAAAGTATTTTTGGGGTGATCGTGCTACCCTCCCACCACCTACCAACATGGCTCTTGCATGTTACACTTATTTCAATTTTTTAATTTTTCCAATCAAGCCAATAATCTTGATAGCATTATGGGGTGATTGCTTTTACTTGCTCCTCATCCTCATCCTTGGTGTGAGCATCTTTGATCGCAGAAAGCTACAAATATTCTCGTGTTTAAACAGCACACTGTTCTACCTTGTTTCATCACGTTTAAATATTTGTTAATTATAACTTATATCATCAAAAAATATTAAAAAATATTACACGTGGTTCAAAGAATTTTTTGATGCTGCAATGTGTGCAATTTTGATGAGCAAAAGAAGCTTTCAAAATTTATAGATTTACCTTTACCCCTCATTGCTCTATCTATAGGAAACTATCGAGAATATGGATAGGGATGGAGATGGAGCATTGAATATTAAAGATTACATAGGTCTGTATCGGATAAACTTTGATATCTGACTGTAATTTCAATGTGATAATTAATGGAATAAGCTTATCAAATATTTCTAGCTCGCAATTTTTTTCACTGCGCAATCTGTGGCTAAAATATGTATGTGATCTTTCACCAGAGACTTTATCATTCTGTGTTCATAATAATGTCCATAATATTTTGTGGATTATCTAAGATAAAGATTAGGAAAGTATTTCACTAATCCAGTGCATGGTTCCTTTTCCTCCAAATTATACGTTTTTGATTTTATTACTGTTTTAAGGTGAAGGAATCTTGGAAATGGACTCTGGAGAAGAATTTGTGGCAAAGGTGAAAGAATTCAAGGAATTCGATAAAAATGTTGATGGTCTACTAGTTGAGGTACGTAAGTCTGATTTTGTCTGATATTATTTCAAAAATCGACAATTATATTCAGTACAAAATATGAATCAACTTGGAAAACGTTTTGTGAAAACACTGCACTTTCTGGCAAAGAAACTTGGAAGTGTCTTGCATTGAGAGATAAACTTGGATACTTTTAAAATTTCCAGTTCCCCTTACACTCTTTAACTTATATTCTATTTCGCTCATCAAACCATCAATTCCATTTCCTAAAAGTGTTACAAATCGCCTGCAATTGTCATTTCGTAATTTATTGTCTAATGGGTAAATTTATTGTCTAATGGGTAAATTTATTGTCTATGGGTAAATTTATTGTCTAATGGGTTACGTACGGTAATATCCCTCTGTTTATACATTCTGGATTTCATTAAATATTTCAGAATGAAGTACTTGACTGGATGTTCCCTCCTGGTTATACAACTTCACAACATGAAGTAGAACACATTATGAGTCATGGAGACAACGATAAGGTACTTTGAAAAGAAAGAATAAAACAAAATACACGTAAAGACTCACTAGCGTCGCTAGCCCGCTTATTTAGTTTTGCTATGTTAATATTTCTGTATTCGCTTACAGTGGATAGAATAGATTGCTAAAGAAACTAACAATAACGTTCGTAAATTTGCGAATCAAAAGTTGCCGACTGACTACCCCACATCCTAGAGATACTTGGGGGTTATTTCAATTTGTTAGCCATTAATGCAGGACACAAAGCGTATTATTTGATCACAGTTGAAAAATTTGCAGAATGCAGATGTGCTTCGTTATTTTGTTTTAACAGAACTGTTACGTCATAACTACGCGTGTTCTAAGAGTAGGTAACATTTGTGCATTGTACACGTCCATGTTTGTGAATATCCTTATATGAATACTGTCTCTCAAGATAAATGGTTCTTATTCGGAAATTAAGACTAAGGTTTTTCTTCCATTTCACTCCAAATTAATGGCTACCGTTTCAAATATCACTTCTTTAGAACAAATTTAAGTGCAATTGCTCAATATGTCTAATTATTTTGCTTTAAATTTTCGCATTCTCCATGTTGAGAATGCACGATCCATGTAATTAAGGTACATATCATTGCATGGTCTATAGAGCCAATCTTAGAAGAGGATTATTGGCTAGTTACGTGACCTGGACACTACGGCAAAGTTGCGGATCTTTAAGTGATATGTATTCCTCTCACTAAATTCAGTCTCTTGACGAAGTTTGCGTTTCTTTCGAGTATTTGATGAATAGAAAATTGAGCTTCGTACTAATAGTAAAATGTTTTATATATTCTAAGCTCGTCTAGATTGAATTTTCTTGGCGTTTCAATAAAATTTGTATGTTTAACTTGAAAACATCAACTTCATTTACAAAAAGTTTTTTTTATGTTCCAAGGGTGCATCGTGCAACATATAGGTTACTCAGTTTTCTAAATTTCTGTTTGTAACAGATACTATCGTCAATAATTTTTAAAACAACAAATTCATTTTTAAACCCTACGTTAGTTTCTATCATCAGAAACTACTAGTGTTTTTACATTTTCACGAAGTGTTTATATGTTTTCATTTGTTAGGATGAGAGTTTGAGCTATGAAGAATTTTCATCAATTCCAGAGCACCTTGAAAACAGCAGAGTGACAAGCTACGGTGATCTATTACATGAGCACAGAGACGAACTGTAATGCAATGCACGATTTCCTATTTATTATTTTGCATGCAGAAATTTTAGTGTACGCATGCGCAGAGTGCCTGTGTTATTTTTATGCACCATTTGTACAATAAAAAAGAAATCTTCGTTTTAGGTTAAATAATGCCATATACTAAATCTTCTATCAACATCGCTTGCTAGGCCTTTACGTAAAGATATCATAACTCGCCGTACGAGCTCGGTAGCTACGTATGCTACGGCTGTACAAAAACTCCTCGGTCCGATACTAGTTCGTTAAGACATCGCACTCGGGGAGCCGGGATTCAGCAAAGCGTTAAATCAATTTGGCAATTGGAAAATTTTAAATACTAAAAACTAATTTGAGCGATTTCCCTCTGCTCTGACTTCATAAATAATTTCAATCCACAATACCAAACAAATAATTTAGCCTGATTTGAAAATTACAACTAAAATGAGTCATGACGCTTAAGAAAAGGTTGTAAGTTTTGTGCTTGAAGTTTTGCTTCCTTTCAATGACTCAAAATCATTGCACGCCTCATTGAATCCCTGTTAGCTTGGGTCATGTAAACAACCCTAAGTAGTAAAATAGTTGGAAGTATACTTACGAATAAACATGCACGAAGGAGTTTCTTTGAAGGATGAAACTAAATATAGTGAGTACGAGCGAACCGACTAGAAACTTAACTTGGCGATCAATTCCAAAACTGCCGCATGCATGAGAGAATTGTATTTTAAGCAATATTGTTGATTGTACATGTTAAGGGATGCGTTTTGGGGGAATGAAAGTGAAGGATTTCATGTAGCAACTGAAATATCGGAGCCCGACCTACGACGTTATGGACAGTGATGTGTTGCTAATGTAGCGACGTTATGGACAGTGATGTGAATTCATATACATTCAGTTTAGTGGCACCCAACTTCTATCTTTTGAAAGTGAATCTGTTTTCATTGACGGCCTCCGTAATGTACCTTCACTTAGCTATTTCTGCTGAGAAACAATATATTTAAGGATTTTTGTTTTCATTTTTGTAAATAATTAAGCATTTTACAGTTGTGCAATGTATTTCCATCCACTACAAAGCTTATAGTCAACTTTTCATCACTCATTATACTACTGTTTAATTTGATGTTGTACTCCTCTTTTACCAACCAACGAGCTTCGACATTTGCAAATGTTATCAAATGCATGGAAATGACAGAACCACGATGGTTTTCCAAATTTTATACATGTCCAGTACGCTAAGCATTCTTTATGACAACACTGGGCAACTAGATGGTGACATTGGTATTTGCTCCCAATTTTAATGAAACACAAGTGATTGCAATCGAATGGACAAGTCTAAAAAAAGGAAAGAAGCATGGTTAGCATTCTCATCCATCAACAGTGGGCATGCGTACTAGTGGCCAGACATATATATTAACCTACGAAGCAATGGACAAACATGTGAAAATTATCCAATCGATAACAGTTTTTATCATAAAATCATAGTTTAAATGATTTACAGATCATAAAAACTTGAGGAAAAACTACAGGACTTGTAAATGATTGTGGAATATTGATTTCAAATGAAAATTTTATATATATATAAAGGACATTTTAAGTGAACGAGAGAGCTGAAAATCACTACATAAACTCATGTTGTCGTTTGTCCTGGCTTTTAATCTTCCTTTCCATGTTTCCATGCAAACACACACACACAGACATACCACTTTATAATTTTTTAATAGCACATATTTCGATGCTGCTTTGAATTTCGGATCGTTTTCTGCATTCTTTCGTAGCTTCTTAATATCATTTTCAGGTGCCTCTTCTCCGTCTGGTTTCGAAGTCGAATGTGGTCGAGCTGTTACGCACCAGATCACAACAACATTCAGGATCAATAATTTGGCGTTGGAAAACATTATTTTGAACCTTCCCTATGTAAAAAAAAGTTCTTTCATGTCAGTCAGACCTGATACCACTGAAATTAAGATGAAGAGATGATTATTATGTCAACCCAGACTTCATGTTTTTAACATGTGCATACATGGACTTAGATTGTTATTTCACCAATAAGGATTTTGTAGACTTTGATCAAAAGACCTACTTAATTCGATTTCAAATCGTATATACATATTTTTACAATGGTTGTATATTACTCTAAGTAAATCTCCTTCACCATATCAAGAAAGGGTCGCCCAATAATGATAAAAAAGCCACAAAAGTTATAGATATCAACGGATGTGCATGTGCATGTAAATTAAGAACGTACTTCAACATAAATAACTACACCATATAAAACGATGCTAAACAACTGCGAATCATGTATACTTATATGGATTTAAAACTTCAAGACGCTCGAGTAAAGGTGATCACGAATTTCTAGTATCGTTTGCTGAGCAATGGACAAAACATGAAGTTAAGGTCAGGCAGATTTATACATGACGTCGTTTCATCATACCTCAACTGTAATTCTTTCTTAGGTTCTCTTCTGTTTAAAGTTCCTTCTTTGAGGGCTGGATCAATGTGCTTATAGTGAAAATGGCAACCTAATTTATAACTCCACTGTTATCACTATGCACATTTTTAACAATCCTTATACAATGACGTTCTAGTTATATTTTACATTTTTAATTTCGGTGGATGCGTTTAAGGAAAAAAACTTTTCAAATGTATGTGATAATAAAACAATTACTTTGTTCATGCGAATGCTTCCAAATCACTTTTGCCAGGATTAATGAGGAGTGGGAATGTTTTGCGTCCCATTAAGTTTAATAGTAAGTACACATGGGACGTGTGGAGGAGAGACCTGAAACGTTTTCTTTTAAAATCAGTAAAAAACACCACTTGACAAATGTACACAGTTAGTGAGAAATCTTTAGATCTATCATTGATATTTCACGCATCATTAAAGTTTTAAACTTCAGTTTCACTATTTCAATTCTATCAGTGGATTCTTGACTTGCAATTCAGCCATGTTGGTGCTCTGATACAAAAGAATATCTTATTTCATCAGTGTTTATTTTAGTCACCAGCCGACGTGGGTGAGCAACATTGTTCGATAAATCTCAAGAGAATCGTTGCAAGTCGAGAATTAAATCAATTTCACATATTTTTGGATCTAGAATATGTTTGTCCAAGTGTATGAAAGAATTGAAAGCTTTCCATAGTTAACAGGTTTACAGCAACCAGAAGATGTGTTATTTTAGAAATAAAAGATGTTTACTGTGTTTGTACTGGCGTATGCAAGCCGAGGACACCTTTGGGAGAACTCGAGAGCAGATCAGTGCAAGCTTTGAAGTAAATAGGATGCTTAGTAACAATTTAAGAGAGAAATCATCTTACATACATGCAGCAGTCCATGCACAGTCCACTCGACTAATTGTTCATAGTCATGGCAACGACTAACTATATATACTTGCACTACCTTTGTGGAAATTTGCTCACTTTATTGTGGCATATTGCTCAAATTATCAAAGTAATCATCTGGGCATTCGTGGTAAAAATGTCAATCACTCCACAACTTTTGTTGAATTTATGTATATTATACAAAGCAAAATACTATGATGTCAACTAGCGGTAGAAGCTGGGTGCGATTAGGTATGCAGTGGCTTAGAGGCCCAGACTTCGGTCACAACCGCACTCTCCCTGAGTACCACAAGCAAAGCCTATCGCCTGTGATCTTGGGGTCTGATGGGCGGAAGCTTGCTATTGACATCTCCAAGTAGGATAGCGTGGAGGGGTCGAAATCTCCTACGGACAATGGCGGATTTCTATTTACGGGTCTGTAGGCTGAGACAAAGTTAAGGGCCTTTAAGCGATACCTATTCCTCCCACTAAATACCTTTGCTTTGCATTTCCTGTTAGTAACCCCCATAGGGTAAAAAATGAGAGAAGTTCTGTTAAAACGAAATTTCAGAAATCATTGACATGGTCAGGGAAATAGGAAAAGTTAATACTTCATGAGTTCTGAGCATTATAAACATTTGAAAAGTAGATAGTACGAAAGCCATTTTTCCTCAGCATTCAATTGCTCGTAAGGTTTCAACAGTGTAAAACTTTAACATGCGGCGTTCTAGTGCCTTACGCTAAACAAGGTATCTGGAAGTGTAGACCGAAAACGGGACCTATTGCTTTCGGATTTTATCTTTTTGTTTACAAGAGTTCTTCTCATAAAAGAAACTAGAACATCCAAGGATACTGCAAATGTTCAAACAACTTCTGCCTTGTTGACTTATAACTTAAATCAACTTTTGCCGTGATGTTTCCACAAACTTTTGCCGTCACGCTTTTGCAGGCTTTAAAAGACAATATGTTTTTGTAGTTTCCGTATTTATTTTCCATGACCCTCGTGGGCCTCCGTACAATTCAACAGTCAATTCAACAAATTTTTTAATTATAAAATTACACAAAGTTTTCCCAAATGTAATATTGCAAAGTCTTATAGAATTAAAGCGCGGATAAAATTGGATATATATCCTACGCGTTACCTTAAAAAATAATAACATTTCCAAATGAAAAATCAATTTCAAGAACACAAAAACTGTATGGGTCAGTAGGATTTAAATGTCCGGTCACATGTCTGCTATATTTATAGAAGCGAGATTGTTTTTGTCCGAGGTCCTGCCTATACAGACGAAATAAAAATCTCCTTTTACATTTTTGCGAGAAAAATGCTTGCAGACACTTTGCTACGTAATGTGAATCCTACTGTACCACATAGGTTCCTGTAAATGTTGTTCCTATACACTTTGTTTGAGGTTAAAAAATCTAATAAAGAAACCATCATGTGCAACCCACGTTCCGCTTAGTCAAGTAAACAAGTCCTTACATAATATTAAAGACTACTAAATAAATCAAAAATAACAATCATGAACTTTGTTCATTTTCATAGTAATTCGGCCCAAATTCTAATTGAGATTGCCAAACATAAAAATTGACCAGTCAGTGAAAATTGCGTTAGAATTTGGATTGTGTTCTTGAAATTTTGATGAAAGGTAACGTGCGGAAAAGTAAATAAAAACACTAGCCTCTACCTATAACAACCACCTTTAAATATGTATCTTGTAGATCAGGGGTCTCCAAACTACGGCCCGCGGGCCAGATGCGGCCCGTTGGGCCTCTCAATCCGGCCCGCAGAGCCACTTGAGAAAAAAAAATTATTAAACAAAATAAACTTTGTGCAGAAAATTCACGTTATGACGCAAGCCAACTTGCAAGAGTGGCTTACGTCAATTTTTCTACCAACTTCCTACTTCCGTTTCAAGCACACTGCAAAATTTAAAAAGCTGAAGGATAACGTGGAAATTTTTTATATTCTTCGGCCCTCAACATGCTGGATGAAAGTTCATGTGGCCCTCTGGCTGTAAAGTTTGGAGACCCCTGTTGTAGATCATCAGAACATTTATAAATATAAATATTATTGACGTAAATGTTAAATTGTTTTCTACGAATTCCATTTAACACCTTTTAAAGATCACGGGTTTCTTTGCCAGAAAACCCATCGCATGTTCCTTTTGTATAGAACCCCTTACCATCACAATATACGCAATCCGTGTGTTTGTTGGTTTGACCACGGAAAACCTCTTTCAGACTTTTCCATAAAGGCAAAAGGGATCCAGTTTTACCCTCGGGTCCAATCCAAGCCATCACAGTAGGAAAAAGGAAAAGCGAATAGAGAATAGAGAATCCTATTGTGGCAAATATGAAAATTCCAAATTGCACGAAGAATAAAATTTTAGCCGCTAACATGAAAATCGATGCACCAAGAGTCGAGCAAGCGCCAGATAATACCGAAACTCCAACGTGCGATAACGCATAGCGCACTTTATTCGTTCTCGTTCTTTCGACTGCTTGAATATAACCCTCAGCCAAATGCACCACATAATCAACAGCCAAGCCCACAACCAATGTAAGATTTAAAGATTCCAAAGGTCCAAGCGTCCAACCAATCATGCTTATAACACCAAGTACTGAAGTTGTAATCATGGCCATGGTTAATGCTGCTATGAATCCAATGTAGACATTTGTTGTCATTAAAACCAAGATGACAAGAGATAGAGTTATCCCGATGATTATTCCAGTTAATGCATTCAAGACGAGAATCTTAAAAAGTATTAATTTAATGTTGGAGCTTGCTGTTATGTATAGAGTCCAATCATCGAGCCGAACACAAATCTCTATCTGAATTTAATATGCATTTCATTGTCATGTGCGTTATAACCCAAACGTACAACGACGAACGACGCAAGTCCATGGTGAAACAATACATGGAACGTCCAACATTATACGACGTTTGGGGGCGTTTTCAAACACACAGTACAATGACATCCATGGCACATATTGTATGCAAATATTAGCTAAATTAAATAATACTTTAATAAATCACGTGTTAAAGTCCGTGAACAATGCTACTTTAATTTGCTACTTCTTGCGGGACCAACGTATTTTTAGGAGCTGATCACATGAGCCCAGTTTGCCGGGATTCAGCAAAGCGTTAAATAATTTTGGAAAATGGAAACGATTCAATACTTATCATTACATAAAACTTCTTGAGCAATTTCACAATATTCTGACTTTATAAATACGCAATGAGTGTATTTAATGAGCGTAGTTGAAATGAAAACAACCAATTTGGCGTAATTACAAGAGGAATGACGTGTGGTGCTTAACAAATAGTAATTTTTTCGCTTGAACTTGTGACTCTTTTTAATGCCTCGAAATCATTTCACACCTCACTGAATCCCGTTTTGCTGGGATCATGTAAACAGCACTCTAAGTACAGAAAAAAAATAAATGAAAACGATGTGGTTTCATACCTCTTGCACCTTGACCCAATGCCAAACATTAAAGTCTTGATAGACAGTTGCTTGGAAAGCATTTTTGCAAGAAGATGGAAAATCTTTCATCTGTAGTAAAAAAGCAAAAATGATAATTACTGATTTAAAAGTGATATGAACATGCATCTGTATATAAAGAGCTTTTGCAACGCTTAGTCCCTATTCTGCACGTATATATATTTGCAATTATTTGAACAGTTAAGGTTTTGGGCATAACAATGAGACATGTCCTCAACAAAGAAGAAAACTCATAGATATTATGAAAAATCTTGAATGAATATAAACTCTAAAATATTTTGTAAACAGAGTTTAGGTTGTGCAAAATAAAATCCTGGGGCCGGTTGCACGAAGCTTGGACAGCGTTTCCGCTGGATAGCAAATTTTGCTGAACGTTTATCGCAAGAAAAATATAAACACCTTTTTTAAAAGTTTGAAAATTTTTGCTATCTAATGGAGGATATCCATCCAGGCTTCGTGCAACCGCCCCCAGGCTTTTCCTGTGTGCACGAAGCCTGGTTTTAGTGGGAGTTCGAGACTGAGCACAGCGTTTTTTTAAACATGTCGCAACCCTAGAATACCATGCACACGTCTTGTTCTATTCTATTGCAGACAGACCAAGTGGACATGTGCCAATTCCACGAAGCCTGGGTTTAGGGCATTGAACTAAAATACATGGAACGCTACCTGAAGCAAATAATTGAAGCCAAATCTTACATCAGACACGCGAGATTTTATCCCAGACACGCGTGTGTAGTGTTTCGAGATTCTATCGCAGAGTAATAATTGATTGACTACACACGCGTGTCTGGGGTAAAATCACGGCTTCAAAAAATTATTAGGGTTTTGAATTACAGGTAGCGTTCCATGCATTTTAGTTCAACGGTCTAGAGTTATCAATTTGATGGTAAAATTTCCAAACTTCTAAAAAAATTGTTTATATTTTCTTTGCGACAAAGAAATTTTGTAATCGCTGAAGCAATATTTTCTTTCCGAGATTGCTCAGCTAAAATCGTATATTTTCCCCAATAAGAGGTTTTTTAAAAATTAAAAAAATTTGCTATCCAATGGATAACGCTATTCAGGCTACATGCAACCGGCCCCAGGTTGCGTTCTCGGCACAAAAATTCAATGAGTATGACGTTTGTAGAGAGGTAGGTATATTTAACAATTATAGATTACGAGCTCAAGACATCTATGAGGTAATGGTTGACGAGTCCGAATCAACTATCGCATCATGGAAATCGAGAGCGAGTAATCTTATTGACTTAGTAAAATCATACTATAGTATTCATAAGGAAAAGGATTGCTATAGTTTTCTTTAAGTCGCTGTTTTATGCTTTTGTGTTTCCATAATTTCGTAATTTTCGCTATTCACTACTTAAAAAATGAAAGCGAGCAAAGTAACCAATCAAATTAAAGCATTTGCAAAAGAATGCCAGTATGATTCTACTAATATATATATATATATATATATATATATATATATATATATATTTGGTAACCCAGGCATATTATGATAATGAAAGAAAAAAAGCTTAATAAAAAATTGAAAGCTTAATAAAAAATTGAAAACAAATCCAGAGAATCCTTATCATTATCATATATATATATATACAAAGTGTATTACAATGTGCCCTCCCGGCAATCACCATATTAAAATGGTGACTCCTGCACTTGGGACACAGGACGTACGGTTGATTTTTATTGAGCTTTCGACTCGTTGCTTCGAGTCTTCATCAGAATGAAGATATTTATTTACACGTGCTTTTAGCTTGGAGACGTTTAGAGCGTCTAATTGGATGAGTGGGTGGATTAATGTGATTGGATAGGGTGAAATGCGTTGCCATGGGTTTTGGTGTATTGTGAATATGATTGGTGTTAATAAATACTTCTTCATTCTGATGAAGGCTCGAAGCAACGAGTCGAAAGCTCAATAAAAATCATTTAAAATCCGGAGAAACTTTTATCTTTTATGTATTCAATGCCTGGATTACAAATTTTCAAACTTATATATATATATATAGGTTTGAGTATATATATAGTTTTACTGCATATAAATAGGTTTACTGCATATATATAGGTTTGAGCACTCTGATGATTCTACAATACAATCCATACAATGTGTAACCGCACGTCCTGTGTACCAAGTGCAGGAGTCACCATTGCACTGTGGTGATAGCCGGGAGGGCACATTTTGTATACGCTTTGTATACACTGTTTACTCTGTTTACACTGTTTGTGTATACACTGTTTGATGACACTACATCATACTTCACTAAACATAAAGACCGAACAACGTCATTTGACACAACCAACGCGGTCTACATGATACCATGTAAAGATTGCCCCAAACAGTACATAGGACAAACATCCAAGAAAATAGAAACAAGACTCACTGAACACAAGAATGCCATCAAACGATGCGACCCAAAATCACTACCAGCAGAACATACCTACGATACCAACAACACATTTGACTGGACAAAAACACAACTTCTTGGACGCGCACAGACAAAACACGCACGAGAATTCAAAGAGGCATGGTACAGCAAAGACAACAACACAATAAACAGACATATTGACATCCCCACCATCTATTCACAACTAAAGACAAAACCAAAACAACAAACTAATAACACAACGACTAAGATAAAACACTCGAATTTCATTAACGCAATCCATACACCCGAAACCATGAAAACGCATCTTATACCATCCAATAATATCAACTCAACTACTAACCAACCAATCAGACGCTCCAAACGCCTACAAAATCTTTGTAAATAATATATTCTTACATTCTGACGAAGGCTCGAAGCACCGAGTTGAAAGCTTAATATAAATTTCAAAATAAAAATCCAGAGAATCCTTAATATTATCATAATATGCCTGGGTTACCATACGTAACGTATGTGTAACTTGTACGTATGTGTAAGGAAAATAACTAACCTTCGTTGAAACAAAGTTTTCCCAATTCCTATATATGGGCAAGCCTTCTTGGTAGCCGAGTGAAGACACGCTTAGAGTCGTATTTACAGCAATTGATACATACATCAAGCGATAGTCGTGCATTTTACCTGCAAATGCAACCAGATATTAAAATTCAAGAAACTTAACTCTAATTTATGAATGACATAGAGATAGAATTATGATAACATTCTTCATTTAAACCTGGTGTTTGAACATCCTACTGACAAATGGCTTTTATATATCAATTTTATATAAATATTCAAGAAAGACATAGTACCTTGCAGATACGCATTTCTAGAAGCGTTTCTTGATAAAGTCGGAAAATGAGCAGTTCCCAAGAAACTGTGATACTTCTTAAAGTCAAACGAGTTTGAATAGTCACGTGATCCACCATCAGTGATAAAATAACCTAAGCCGACTTCGAAGTAACGGAAGTAGGAATCGGAAAAGAGGGAAACATTGTAAAGATCTTTGTTATTTTCCATCAATGTATGCATTTTGTTCGCATTCACAACAAAGGAGAAGTCGGAATTATTGGGATATTTCCTTTTCTTTGCTTCTTCCTAAATATATGAGAAAATAAGTTTTAAAGTTACTGCATTACATCAATAGAAATGCCATCACTACTTTTCAAACAATTGTACATCACTTCGTAAAGGATCCAGGGTAAGTAAAAATATATAATTGATGCTCATTACCTTCATAACAATGTTATTGTGATGAATTTCAAAAATTCAGCTAATCAAATTGCTTTGGAGGTATTTAGCAAAGTACACATTTACGTACATAAATGAGCTGCTGCGATTAGGTTTTTTTAGTTGCGAAAATGCTATTTCGCCATGTTTTGTGGTCATTATTTTTCCATGAATCGACTTGTACAGCTCGGTTTAGCTAAACGTTGATGTTATAATTCCATGGATTAAGTAATCGATACATTGTTGCATTTTACAAAAATAAGTACGCAGGGCGTACATGTCGTAAGCCAAAAAAATTTAAGGCACAGAACGAAGTAGATCAACGAGTATAGTTCAAATAATATAACATATTTAATATTATTCCCAAAAAACTTTCTTTCGAGATTTTAAATTTTGAATAAAACTACTTCAAAATAGAACACAGCATTTGAAATTGAGTTCGACCTCAGTATAGGGAATATACAGCAGATACACTTTGTGAGCAACTGGCTGCTGTATATTTGATTAGACTACTGGCTGCGGTTAGCATGCAATTTCATCACTCCTCTTAGTCAAAAACGGCTGCCATTATGGTAATCACATGCGAAATAAGATATGCAGGGCACGAAAAAATTCAATGTAGAGTATACTGTGGTTCGATTACGTAGTTCAATTTATGGTGCACTTCCTACACAAAAGTTGCGTTATGTAGCTTGCCTCCCGAGGCAAAATGCTGGCCACTGCTCAATGGCACATTAAAAATAACAAAATACTAGCAGTCAACCTGTCAATAATTAAACTATTAATTGCAATAACACAACATATCTACCACTATACAAACCACTACCTTCAAATATTCATTCATCCTTTCGAAGACGCAAATGATTTCATATTCACCAGTTACATCATTTCTCCTCAACCTCAATTTGCGTGCATCTTCGGACGTCGCGTGTTTCAAACTTTTACATAAATTCTAAATTTAAAAAATAACATGTTAACAAGAAATAGGATATTTCATCGGATGAACAAAGGTATTTCAAGGAATTTTGCCCACTTCCATATTTCATTACTTCACGGGCACAAATGAAGTTGTCCCAAAACAAAATAAACCAGCCAGGTGTTAGATAAAGCTCGTTTTTTCCCGAGAATAAAAAATCGTCAAAAAATTGTTCTATTTTAAAACATTGACATAAGATAATTTATAATCAAATGCAGTGCACAGACGACAATTTTTCAATTCACTTACAAGCATTGATATCTGACAAGGAGGTGGATTAATATCAAAACTTTGATCAAAAACAGTATTTCCTTTGCATTTGAAATCCGTGTGATGACATTCACTTCGATCTTGTTCTTTCAATCCCCAAATTATATTAACGACAACGACATAATCCTCTTGACTACTTCTGAAAACGTTATTGTTCAAAACATTATACTTTGCCCAGTTTGTATCACTGCGCCACACCTTTGTCTACAAACCAAAATAACAACAAGAACAATAATCAAAAGATTTCATGTTTATCATTTTCTGTAAATATACCAGTAAGTACGCATATTGCCTTTGTAAGTTGGTAAAAAGACAGCTTGAAATTAAAGTTCATAACTATTTAGCAAAAAAAAACAAAGAATTAAAGTTTTAAATTCAGTTTTACTTTGAAGTACATTAGAATAAAGGGAAACTTGATAAAAGTTGTACATGTTATGAGTGAAGAAAAAGATATAAATGTAATTAAAAAAAACCACAAGCCAGAGTTAACGGAAACTTTTAAAGTTTGATATTGAACGTGTAGATCTAGGTGATATGGAGCTGATTTGTGGGTTTAGGGAAAGCTGAGGGGCACATAGGGACATTGATGTCCACGTTTAACTTGATAGTTTGTGAGTCTACTTGGATGCAGAGTACCATCGCGTGTTGCGCAATTAAACACGGACATACCCTACCGCTCGCGTATTTGTTAACATACGCTACGCGTATGATACGCGTATCATACGAAAAACATACGCGTATCATACGAGAACGATACGCGTATGATACGAAAAGGATACGCGTATGATACGAGAACGATACGCGTATGATACGAAAAGGATACGCGTATGATACGAGAACGATACGCGTATGATACGAGAACGATACGCGTATGATACGAGAAGGATACGCGTATGATGAGAGTATAATGCGTGAACGATAAGCGTACGTATGATACGAGGATGAAACGCTGTGATACTTGATAGAACTTTGTTCATCGTAATGAGCAGCAATTTTGCTTTCAAATTGTTAACGATTTCGTTGGTTTTTGATATTGCGTACGTAGTATACCTGGTATGGAATTCTATGTTATTTCACTATTTTTTCAGGATAAATTTTGGTCAACATTTAAAGCTAATGTTTTATGTACTTTCAGAAATCTGTGCAATATTTTCCTATCGACTTTAATGTTTTATTTAAGGCGTTTATTATATCACGACGAAACGTGCCTTCTATTAAAATACGATTCGATTCATACGAATAGAATATACGTTTATTAATAACATCCTTATATGGATGTGCATCTTGCAACATCAACTATCGAATCCAACTACGTTGTAAACTCGGTCACATTCACAACAAAGTTCCTCGTCGACTCGAGAAATACAGAATAGCCAACTGTCACTTGATAGACTTTATAGGCAATTGACAAAAGCTATATCATAATAAATCGTTTGAGCGCGATGCTCTGTAAATTTTAGAGATTTAGATTCAGCGCTCAAAGGAGTAAAATACGATATACACGTATCTGCGTATCGTACGACAAAAAAATGTTTTCTCGCTTGAAAACACTATTCATTCAATACGGATACTATCAGAGATTGCAGACGTAGATACGCACGTGTTAAAACTAATATGTCATGTCTGCGGGGACACGTTTATCACCTTATGCCCAGGAAAGAATACTAATATTAAGTAAGGAAGGAAAGAAATACACTGAAATTAGCCGCGAATTAGCATCGAGCATTTGTCCTGTAAGCAGACAGACTATTTCAGCCGTTGTCAGAGATTCGAAAAAACGAAGAAACGTTTTCTCGCCCCGACGGTGTGGAGGAAATAAAACAGTCCTTACCATGGAGCATTATACTTTCATAGATGAAGAGATGTCAAAAAATGATGAAGTTATCACAATGAGTTTCCGTTTTTATATAAGAATGTGTCACAAACTTTCAGCTATGTCATTGATGAGTCATATGTATACTTAGATACGACGTGAGACAATCGCAGCTCATTGCAAAAGCAACTCAAAATTTATTAATGCATTACATATACATGTATATATAAGATCATCTATTAAAAAATTCTTTTGCTATATCGTGCTTTTAAACTATTTCGTGAATAAAATATCTTAAGTGTATACTGACACTTTTTTATGTCATCTTGCGCTACAAAGCAATTGTTAGTGTGTCGTCGTTTGTTATGTTTATAGCACACGCAACTTCGAATGAATCTCAAAGAGTGTGTATTTAAATATTATCCTGATACTCAGGTTAAAGTAACGAAAATTTGGGCTCGGTGTATTCAAACGATTGATTCTTATATTAGAAACAAACATTTCAATAAAAAATATTGTAAGTAAACTATTTTAGTATAATGCACTTATAATTTTTGTAATTGGGTTTTTTCCACACCAATAAGTTTTCAATAAATTCTTCTATAATATAAACTTGTCTCTCGATTTGTGATAGTGTTGTTGCTTTCATGTCCTAAACTTAATCCTTTAGATGCTGAAGTTTTTCTTCATCATAGCGGGAGTCCGCGTTATAGATATGAACATCAAACGAAAAGACATAAACAAAATAGCATTGCATTCATAATTAAGTAGATATGCAAAGTTTTCGAAAACTTTATACTTATATTTGAGTACATAGATGAAACCAAACTATATTGAAACCATATACGAGAATATTAAGAAAGTAATACGGGTATGACACGAGAAAGACATGCGTATAAAATGAAACGATACGCGTATGATACGAGAAGGATACGCGTATGATACGAGAATGATACGCGTATGATACGAGAAGGATACGCGTATGATACAAGAAGGATACGCGTATGATACGAGAACGATACGCGTATGATACGAGAACGATACGCGTATGATACGCGTATCATACGCAAAATTATGTTAACAAATACGCGAGCGGTACTGTATACGTATAATTGTGCATACTGAAATTCTAGTTTATCTCGTGTTCAAACAATGGTCAAAAACACGTAACATAATAACGAAGAAATATTGTTTTCGATTACAAACAGTCTTGAAAGAAAAGTAATAAGTCATTGGCTATAAGGATGAGAAAGTACTTCAGTTAAATTAAGAACAGTGTCTCTTTGGTAATCCCTCCGCTCTACCAAGATTTATAATTAGACATTGACAATTCATAAAATTAGGTTTTTTACAAATTAAGAAGGGTTTTATTTTCGGGTAATTTTGTACGATATTGTAAATGAAGTGGATTGTTGTGTAACACTCACATGTTGTTGCACCTTTAGTCATAGGTAGCCACCGGGCGATAGGATGGTCAGTGGATAACGTGGGGTAAAAGCATCAAGCCAAAATTACTACATCAATCGGATACAAATCTAATCACATGATCGTATACGTACTCGTGTGTTGATCGAAAAAAGACGTAAAACATGTAATGATCAAGCGCCCCAACTCCCTTATACCATGAAAACGTGTAGCACCTTTAACGTAAAATTAATACTCCGTACCTGCTCTTTAGCTGGCACGAGTTTGGTAGCAAACACAACAGCCGTGGTAATAGTTACACCAAATACAATAAGAATTAACCAGCGAACGTATTTTTGAGTCACAATCTTTTCGAAGAACCAGCCATGAAAAAACCATATTACACTATCCAATACGCTCTTTCTTTTTGTTGGGAATAAGCGTTGATCGTTGTCGGACTCATTCTCATCGCTCTCTGACGACTGCAGACATTTGAAAGCAAAACAGCAGCAATAACCTAGAGACAAAATGTTTTTATAAAATAAACAGTAAATAACATGTACGTAAAAAAACCGCAAAGTACGTAGAGGTTGCTGGACCATTTATGTACATGCACGTACTTTATGTATTCGTAGGTTTCATACCTAAATATAGTTTGCCTTGAACTACTCAAAAACTGAAAGTGCAGGAACGGCAAAACAAAATTTCCAAAGCTTTATATAGGTTTCTGATTAATCAATTTCAAATGGTCAAATAAACCTACGTTGTAATTAACAACCGTATTCATAAGAGTTTAATTTAAACTTCATTCAAAACTTTCCTTATTTCAATAATACCAAAACAGCAATATGCTGCATAAATATTACTAATTACGTAAATGCAATCAATTCATTGGCATAAAAAAGTATGACCATTTGGCACACTGTCATTTCCTTTCATAATGAAAGCAGAAAGTTGAAAATTCAGCAAAAAATATCTTAAAATTGTAATTCTCAGTAGAAATGGGTCATAACAAAGGCATGGCATAAGGGTTCAACACACCCTAAAACACTTTCACCCACCAAATAAAATTATTAATGGTAAACTCATTAAAATTGATACAAAATCATCTGTGCCTTTCATCTATCAGGAATTTTAAAAATTACAAGACCAAGCACAATCAACCATACCTATAATTATAAAGTTCAATTTTAACTGCCCTACCCTTTAAGTTAACCCTTTAAAGAGAGGTCATAGATTTTCCACACATACGCACAACTTTCTTCAGAATAAAACTATTCTATATAGTAGTATTCTATATAAAAGTTTTCATACATACATACCACTGCGTTCAAAATGATGATAAACAAGAACGGTCGGAAAAAATAAAATTGTTGACAGGTAGTTCACAAATACTAATAATGCAGAAAAAATTCCAAATGATGATATGGACAACAATGGTGAAGGAGCATTGGAAAGAAATGCAACAACTGTAGTTATAGTTGTCACAAACATGGTCTTTGCAGACTTCCGATAAACATCTGATAGTCGATGAGCACAGCTTTCATATTTGAGATAGTAGCTTTGCTTCCAAGTGTCCAGGAATACAAAGATATCATCTGAGCCAATACCCAAAATTATGAAAACGGACATGACATGGAAAATTCCAAAATATCTGAAATCCAGGATGATTCTGTACAGCAGATTGGTGATGTTAAAACTTGAAAATATGCTGAAAATGCCCCAGAATGTAATCCATAATGAACCAGTTTGAAACCAGCAAAATATAAAGATGAAACAAAGACTGGCAACAGCTAGCATCATGTCATAAATGATTTGGCTTTGAAGAGCTGCAGTAAATAAAGACCGGTGGAAGTAAATAAAGTTAATACCTTTAATACCATGATCATAACTTTGCTCAAATTTTGTACGAAATGTGTTCACAATCATTTCATCCAGTTTATGTTTTTGTTCTTGTTTACGGTCATTGCTGCTATGGTAACCCTTAAGAGGTAAACCTACAGGTAACAAGGTCCTTGTATATGATGAAATTGCCTCGGTAGCTGAGATTCTGGAATCTTTAGCCAAGTGAAAGTTGAGAATGGCACTGCTTTTCTGTTCATTATTGCAGCATAGAGAACCTTAGGAATATTTTCAAAGTTAGGATCATAGAATGTTGCATCAATAGCAGAATAAGTGCCATCAAAGAACCTCAAAATAGACAATGGTTTTGCACATCTTCGATCCATAGTACCAGTGCCTTGGAGTAAGCAGAATTCATTCTGATAATCTGAGTTTGCAAACAAAATATCTTCAAAGTCCTTAATGATTTGCAAATTTTTTTGAGTGAATACATTTTCAGCACCATAGAATAAGTTGATTGGTATGTGCTCGTTTCCCCTAGCAAGTTGATCAGTGCTCAACGAACTAATTTCTTCATTTTCTGTTGCATATATCCAAGCATCAGCGCAATTTTGTCGGATCTTTAGGTAAGTCTAACGGTAGTTCACCAAAATTTACAGGTAGTATGTCATATCCAGAAATTAGTAAGCCACCTGTAAGAAGCAGCAAAACCACATGCACAGAGAGAGCAACTCCTACAAGGCAATTGGAACAGAAAAAGTCAGAGATTTATTCAGGAATCTATGCACCAGTAACAAAGCCGACCAGTTTTCTACTTTTACAATGCAAATATTTTTGTGTTCAATCATTGGAAAAACAACGAATGGACTTAATTTTCTAAAGAAATGAATATCACTTTCAGTGAAACAGTTTGCAATATAGGAGTAAAATATTGGGCTTAGCCACAACTAAGTCTCTAACCAAACAAGGACAAAAACAGGTCTAATACAAAACATGGACTAAAAAAAAATTGATAATTGGAGGTTGGAAGAATCATAAATGCATGTTATAATCATGGGTATAGGAAGCCAAAGATCGGTAACTAGTGGGGCTCATATTCATAAATTAGTTAAGTTTAGTTTGAGTTAATTAGTTTTGCTAAGTTCTAAAATTTCATTGCTCTCAACAGATTATACCATGCACATACGAATATGAGCCCCCCTAATTATTGATCTTCATAAGCTCATGGTTATAATAATAGAAACAATGGATTTCAAATAAACTTTATATGTCATATCATGCATATGTCCATGAATATTGCCCCCCTCCCCTCCCATAAATGATGTATCTTCCAAAGTCCATGGTACAAAATATCTAATCTAAAATTGCGTTTCTTGTGTATGAAATTTCACAAAGCAAGTCAACTTCTTTCAAATGTATCCAGCTGAAGCCCACTATATGGTCTTTGTTAAAAACTCTAAAATGTGGTTTATTTAAACGATAGCCATGTTGATGGTCTGATACAAAAGAATATTTTCTCTGAGTTTTTGGTACCAGCCGACGTGGCGAGCAACATTGTCAGTTAAATCTCGAGAGAATGATTGCAAGTCAAGAATAAGAGTTTGTGGCTATAACTTTATAAACGTTTGCGAATGAGGCCTAGTTAATAGCCATGAAAATTTATCCCATTTCATATACCGTCATTTTCTTAAATAGCCCAAGTCGGTAATTTCAGGCATCCGAGAGCGACACATTTATCACAACAATAACATTACGCAATTTGTGAAAATTAGTTCCTCTTTGTCTCAAATTCCTGCTTCGCAAAAGTAACACTCATTGCTCTGCTTGCTTCAAATATTTTCAAATATATTTCGAGCTCAAGGTATTATCATATTTTTCAAGACACGTTTCTGATTATTTCACGTTGTTACCGGTATCGTGGCATGTGACAAAAGATAAAAAAATTTCAACCGATGTTTGTGCTTTGAATACCCTTGTTTGCACAGGCTAATTGTCAAAAATACTTCGTATACAGCGCGATATACTGTCATTACTGTGTAAATATTTATACATTGTAAAACGACTCTTTTAGCTCAACATACCAAATGCAAATTTCGGTCTTGCTACAATGATTTTGCAAAGACGCATTGTATTGCTCGTGGTAGCTTGTTCGTCTCTCTTGTTCGGAGGAGGGCAAAAACTGGATGTTTGCTCGTGACAATTGTGTGCGCCATCCCTTTCATTTTCTTGGCTCGCAAATGGAATTATTTCGACATTGTTGGCCATTTCCAATTATTAGGAATATTGGGAAGCACATCGGAGGCATATGAGTTATATTGTTTATATTTAGAGAAAAAGTTCAACAATCGCCACTGCTCGCAGGCTCAAACCACTGAAAATCTTTCTACTCACATTCGCGCACGTAACATCAACATTATGCAATGTGTTAATTTATAATGAAAAAGGGGCGCGAAAGAGGTGTGAATGGTTTGAAAAATCAACTAAATGGGCTGTTTTGTGACGTTAAGATTCTACTTTTATTAAGTAGAATAAAATTACTTGAACTAGCTAAAATTCTAAAAACTAGTTAAAACTAACTAGTTTTTTGAATTTTAGAATTTTAGAAAAAAAAGCTAGTTAAAATTTTCCTTTTATTCGCGCACATAACATCAAAATTATATGCAAATTACAATATGTTAGTTGACAAAGAAAAAGGGGCGCGGAAGAGGTGTGAAAGGTTTGAAAAACAGGTAAATGGACTGTTTTTTGACGTTAAGTAAAGAAATGAATATCACTTTCAGTGAAACAGTTTGCAATATAGGAGTAAAATATTGGGCTTAGCCACAACTAAGTCTCTAACCAAACAAGGACAAAAACAGGTCTAATACAAAACATGGACTAAAAAAAAATTGATAATTGGAGGTTGGAAGAATCATAAATGCATGTTATAATCATGGGTATAGGAAGCCAAAGATCGGTAACTAGTGGGGCTCATATTCATAAATTAGTTAAGTTTAGTTTGAGTTAATTAGTTTTGCTAAGTTCTAAAATTTCATTGCTCTCAACAGATTATACCATGCACATACGAATATGAGCCCCCCTAATTATTGATCTTCATAAGCTCATGGTTATAATAATAGAAACAATGGATTTCAAATAAACTTTATATGTCATATCATGCATATGTCCATGAATATTGCCCCCTTCCCCTCCCATAAATGATGTATCTTCCAAAGTCCATGGTACAAAATATCTAATCTAAAATTGCGTTTCTTGTGTATGAAATTTCACAAAGCAAGTCAACTTCTTTCAAATGTATCCAGCTGAAGCCCACTATATGGTCTTTTGTTAAAAACTCTAAAATGTGGTTTATTTAAACGATAGCCATGTTGATGGTCTGATACAAAGAATATTTTCTCTGAGTTTTGGTACCAGCCGACGTGGCGAGCAACATTGTCAGTTAAATCTCGAGAGAATGATTGCAAGTCAAGAATAAGAGTTTGTGGCTATAACTTTATAAACGTTTGCGAATGAGGCCTAGTTAATAGCCATGAAAATTTATCCCATTTCATATACCGTCATTTTCTTAAATAGCCCAAGTCGGTAATTTCAGGCATCCGAGAGCGACACATTTATCACAACAATAACATTACGCAATTTGTGAAAATTAGTTCCTCTTTGTCTCAAATTCCTGCTTCGCAAAAGTAACACTCATTGCTCTGCTTGCTTCAAATATTTTCAAATATATTTCGAGCTCAAGGTATTATCATATTTTTCAAGACACGTTTCTGATTATTTCACGTTGTTACCGGTATCGTGGCATGTGACAAAAGATAAAAAAATTTCAACCGATGTTTGTGCTTTGAATACCCTTGTTTGCACAGGCTAATTGTCAAAAATACTTCGTATACAGCGCGATATACTGTCATTACTGTGTAAATATTTATACATTGTAAAACGACTCTTTTAGCTCAACATACCAAATGCAAATTTCGGTCTTGCTACAATGATTTTGCAAAGACGCATTGTATTGCTCGTGGTAGCTTGTTCGTCTCTCTTGTTCGGAGGAGGGCAAAAACTGGATGTTTGCTCGTGACAATTGTGTGCGCCATCCCTTTCATTTTCTTGGCTCGCAAATGGAATTATTTCGACATTGTTGGCCATTTCCAATTATTAGGAATATTGGGAAGCACATCGGAGGCATATGAGTTATATTGTTTATATTTAGAGAAAAAGTTCAACAATCGCCACTGCTCGCAGGCTCAAACCACTGAAAATCTTTCTACTCACATTCGCGCACGTAACATCAACATTATGCAATGTGTTAATTTATAATGAAAAAGGGGCGCGAAAGAGGTGTGAATGGTTTGAAAAATCAACTAAATGGGCTGTTTTGTGACGTTAAGATTCTACTTTTATTAAGTAGAATAAAAATTACTTGAACTAGCTAAAATTCTAAAAACTAGTTAAAACTAACTAGTTTTTTGAATTTTAGAATTTTAGAAAAAAAAGCTAGTTAAAATTTTCCTTTTATTCGCGCACATAACATCAAAATTATATGCAAATTACAATATGTTAGTTGACAAAGAAAAAGGGGCGCGGAAGAGGTGTGAAAGGTTTGAAAAACAGGTAAATGGACTGTTTTTTGACGTTAAGTTCGAGTTAAAAATCTTAGTGTGAAAAAATTGAGGATGCTCCATTCTAAGCATCTTTCATTCACAGGTTGCAAGAACTCTCTCGTGTGAGCACGTTAGTTTACAATCATTTCATTTTTCTGAAAATTTTGAAAACTAAAAAATACGGATGGCAGTGAGCGAGCAAGTTTCTTCGGAATAGGTGAACGTAAACGAAGTTGCGGGTTGCTTGTTACCAAGCCTATGACGTGGGGATTGCGTATTTTCAAAAAATTTCTCTAATAATTTGTGACTAAACGTGCCAGATGCTTTGAAAGTTCTAAAGCAAGGAAAGTTCATCCAGCTAGTCGTAGTCAAAACCATCAAAACTATGAACAAACACAAGTGGGCGAGCGCACTTCGCATTCACTGCTGATTTCTCTTACATTTGAGACCAATCATGTAACCAACATTTCAAAGGCAGAGAAAGTACAAACAGTTGGCTGTTGCCATGACTAAGAACTTAGACGTTTCGTTTCGATTGTACGTTCTCAAAAGTTTTTTCTTATTGTGTGTGATTAAGCGTGAGCAAGCTAGTTTGCCATAAAATCAATGGGAAGGAACAAAATGGAGAGATGAAATACATGTATGAAACACTTTGTGGTTAATTCGATTTAAGAGATCAAAGACAGTGCTTTTTTTAACTTCGTACTATAATGAAGCATATAATGAGCTTAATGAAACATGCATCGTTTGATAATATCATTGTACTAAGTCGTTAATATACGACGTCTTTTTTGTCGTCATTAAAATGGTGATTAATCACTGACAATGTTAAGCAAATAAATGCTCTTTCCAAGAAGCCTCAACATTCCTTCATAACACTTTTAGAGAATAAAAGTAATAATTTATTCATCATATAGCTATATTTACGATCCTCTATTTTGTACTTCGCGAAGGTCAACCCCTTTCAATGCCAAACCATTAGGCAAAAAATTCATAATGACCGTTCTGTTGATAGTTTGCTCTTTGTTGACTGTGGCCAGAACTTTGGATTGAAGGTCAGTCCAATATAAGTTATCTCCCACCATGGTAAGAGCATAAATATGTGGTACTCTTTCTTGGGTGATAATTACACGTTTGCCACTTCTCGTATCCCATGATTCAATTTTGTCAAGCTTGGCGTCTGCCCAATAAAGTTTACGTAGCTTGTGATCGATAACAATGCTATTTGGCCACGCAATTGAGGTGTTAATTATGATTTCTCGTCTTTTTCCATCTAACTTTGCTTTCTCAATCTTTGGAAACACACCCCAGTCTGACCAATACACAAAGCTGAATAAAACATACGTACTACTGTTATTTTACTTGCTCTATAACCTCTAGGAAATACTGCAAGACTCTAAGGCTGCAAAGTTTGTAAAAATAGTACAGTGGAAAACTAAAACGGTAATGGGGGTAATGTTCATATTTTCAAACCTTCCCTAATGATTTCTTTTGAAATTAAAATCGCCAACAAAAGAAATCAGTGGGGCAGATCTGAATATATGAATATACCCCCGCCCACCACCAATTAGCGTTCTAGTTTCGCCCCTGAAAATAGTCATATCATATCTAATACATTTACTATTACAAGCAATAAATAAGTGTTTACCGTTCTTTGTGATCAACTGCAATACTTCGAGGCTCGTCTAAGTTCCCCTGAACTATTGACATCCTTTTACTTCCATTAAGATGAGATACTTCTATCATGTCGGCTCCAGTGTCCGTCCAATAAAGGTGTTTGTTTATCCAGTCAACTGCTATCCCCTCGATTAACGAATCATTTCTCCCCTTAATAATCACGCTTACATCTTCTGACAAGAAAAAAGAACATATCAAAATATGAATTTTACATGTGTGTTTTCTAGTCAGTCAGTATACTAATAAAAACTTCCTTGTGATTATTTACATTTTTGCTTATACACACGGAAATCTGATTACATTTGCCTTTTTTAACAGATTTATAAACACTAGTGGTTTTGTATGAAAAAAGCCTGAAAACTGATAAATTTTGCATTTTTCAATACATTTGTACTTCAGTAAATGGAATTTTGAGAATGTTTTAAGAAGACCTACTAATTAATCTTCTAATCTACTAAATCTACTAAAATCTACTAATCTACTAAATCTACTAAAATCTACTAATCTACTAAATCTACTAAAATCTACTAATCTCTAATGTTATAAAATTTAGAATCTTCTATCCAGAGTTAAACACACTGTTCATCTGAGCTAACAAAAAACTATGGCAGTCAATACGCCACAATTGAGTTCTGTAGGCAAAAAACTACGCTTGTCCATGCATTTACTCTTGCATAATACCTCTGCCATTCAATGCTTTAAAAAGTTTCAACAGATGCAAATAACTTTCAGGCTTTATAATAGACAAAACTAACATTTGAAAAGGTCTAGCAAATATAGTGTCAACTTTCTTTGCATTGAAATATTACATTTTCTGACTGCCAAATTGTCAAAACAACCAAAACCTTTATAGTTAGATTCTTTCATTGAACTTACTTGACCCATTTAATGGAGCACATCTTATTTCACGGTTATGTGAATCAATCCAATAAAGCAACTTTGTCAAAGGGTCAAATTCAATACCCACCACGTGACCCGTATTATCAATTGGCACTTGTACGTCAGAATGCTCGTCAGTGCTGAGAGAGATAATCCTTATTTGATTAAGACGTGACAAGAGTAGAAACGCTTGTGGACCTTAAGTCAAAAACAAATAAAAACACTAGAAGATGAATTGACTATATATAGTATTTATTTTCTAAGCTTTGGAGAGCATGAAATACGAAACAAAAACGATCACAATATTATTATGTGTATATGATGTTGTCTTAATGCTTGGAAAAGTGCAAGGTTACAGTTACAAAAAAATCTTTTTTGTCAATCACCATTGCATCCTATTTGATAATTTTTTGCATTATCTATCATTGAAATCATCACTGTCCGGTGGACAGCGCCATCCAAGCTTTATTGACGACCTTTTCTATGGAATAACAGCCACAGTGTAATCGGTGAATAGTGATGAATATGTATGACATTGGTCTATTATTTTAAATCTTACCATGTGATTTGCTATTCAATAATATGTGCTTCTCCAATAATTTTTACAATTTGTAATTATTGTTGACTTTGCCCAAAGTTTATTACAAAAATCACACAACTATTATATGTAAGTGTAGTTTTTAGTTACCATCTTCACAAGTCTTCGAATCCGACTTCAGAGCAACTCCAGACGAGCAAGAACACGAAAAATTTCTTTGGGGTGATAGCAAGCACAATTGACTACAACCACCATTTTTGTTTTCGCAGGGATTATACAAACCTAAAGACAAAAATAAAGAAACTCGAAGCATATTTGTTAATGAATCCCATTGCATTAGTTTCCTATGAAATACTGCTATACTTCTTAAAATTACACGTGGATACTAGTATCAATGAGCATATAGATAGAGAAAATAGCAATAATATCTTGCCACTAGACAGTTCATGTCAGTTCAAGCTACCAATGGACTACGCTTACTAGTATATGTAACTTTTACCAAACTTTTTGTACACCAAACTTTTTGTACATTAGACTTTTACTGAAAACAAACAAATAAGCACCCTCATATTGTCTTTGAGGTTCATAAACTTTGATATCCATTGGTGAAAATAAACCAGAGCGGACAGTTTTAACAGAAGTTGTTGCATTATTTTTTGACGTGTCGCATGTTCGTATTGAGTTACTATCCCAATCCGTCCAAAATAACTGGTTACCAAACATTGTTATCGCGTAGGGGTGATTAGTTGCTTTTGAGTACGTGAGATGCCTGTCTCTACCAGAGTAGTCAACATTAGCAATGCAGTTATGTCTGGCATCAATCCAATACACTCTTTTCTTCCTATAATCCAAGGTAAGGCTATTTGGCCATGTGATGAGATGACGAACAAGATCGATCTGATTTGAGCCATCCATTCCTGCGCGTGATATACGTGGAATTTCTCCCCAATCAGTCCAGAACATAAATCTCAAATGAAAAGAGCCAGTTAGCACAGTATATAATCTTGGGAAAAAGTATTATAAGAACTACGTAGGCTTCTTTCACGGAATACTTTTACAAAGATAGATCATCACTACTCTCCAAGGAACAAAAACTTTTTCTTTTTTACATTAACTAGCGGGAATGGCAGATATTACCAAATCCAACTAAATAACGTTATTGCGTACAAAGATTTATATTTCTGAAGTCAATAGCTATTGAAATTGCAACCTTTTGAATACATGATGAACTCTGCCCAAACTCTTACCTCTCCAAATTCTTTGCAATACCCATAATTTATTCAAGAGAAACATTATTTGTCCGTTTGAAATTCGAAAATTTTGTAACAAGGGGCTGTTTACATGAGCCCGGTATTTGGGATTCAGCGAGGCGCGAAATGATTTTGAGTGATTGAAAGGAGTATAAACTTTAACCACAAAACTTACAAACTTTTCTTACAAGCGTCATATATCATTTTAGTCGTATTTTTTAAATAAGGCTAAATTATTTGTTTTCATTTTAAGGGTTTTGTGAATTTGCAAAGTCAGAGCTTAGAGAAATTGCTCAAATAACTTTTTTGTTGTGAAGTTAAGTATTTAATCTTTCCCTTTCACCAAAATGATTTAACGCTTCGTTGAATCCCGGTTACCGGGCTCATGTAATCCGCCCTAATGGCTGAGTTCCATTCAGTGCCAATTTTCACGGGATCGACCTTTTGTGATCACTTTCCTTTAAATTGTGTGCAGCCGTGTAAAACTGCTCCGGTCGAGAGCTTACAATTGAAAAGAAAGTGATCTCAAAAAGTCGATCGTGCGACAATTTGCACTGAATAGAAATCAGCCTTTATACTGCTAATCTAATACACCTTGAGTTCTAAATAATGCTTACTTGGTATTTGGATCAAGAGCAATTGCTCGTGGTAGATCAATATTGTTCCAAATCAAAGCTTTGCGATGATGACCTTCAATAGTAGACACAATAATCTGTTTTACGACGCTATCGGTCCAATATAGTTTTTCAGTAAGCCAATCAACAGCCAGACCTTCAATGTGGCCATTTTCATGTGACATAATAACTTTTGGAATACATGACTTTAGTTTGATAGAGCAACTGAAAATTTTCTTTTCCGACACATCACTCCAGAACAATAAGTTCTTGCCAATGATAACATCTATTGCCACTGCCTCTTCTGCTCTTGATAAAATAATCTTTTCCTTGTTTTGTTGTGTCCAAATAATTCGAATGTCTTTTTCATTTGCATAAAGCAATCGAAGGGAAAGAGCTGCAAATGAAAGTTACCATGTTTGATTCTTGATTTCAATAGAGTACAATATTATTTACAAATGTGACGAGTATTTTCAATAGCTACGAAGTAGATCAAGTCGGTATGATCTAGTACACAGAAAAATGCGTAATAGTTTTTAAAACTAGCATTCTACAGTTTGCTTTAATCGAGAGCACATGAAGGATACCTTGATAAATAATTTACTGTCGCTCATACATTACAATTAGTCATTCCTAGTAAGTCAGCTAGGAAGTTTAATCAAACACGTACGCCATATAGTGGCGTAGGAAAACAATAGATTTCAAAGAGATTTTCAGGCCCGTTTCAAACGTCGCATTTTACATGCACCAAATGCATTAAAGTCAGAAAAAATGAGATAAATTTCTTCATTAACTTTTGTTTAAAAAGCATTCGGCTAATGTAAAATGATACGTTTGGAGCGAGCCTAAATTCAGTAGAACATATACATAAATTAAATGACTATGAGACCCCAGAAACATTGGGTGTGCTAAGTTAATGCGCAATTAGTTTAAATATATCTATAAACAACACATTTTACACGTTTTCAAAGGAATGATCAATGACATTTGTCTAACACTTTGTCTAGTCACTAACACTTTGTCTAAACTGGTAATTTAACTAGGTGTGAATCATTTAGTTTATACAATGAAATTGATATGATATAATGATACCATAATATAAAGGATGATTACTGGCGTCGATGTAGAAATGATTCATATTTGATTAGCAATAATTTCGAGACTATAATCGTGATCAATGTTTATTGTATGCACGGCTTTGTTTGAAATACTCTAAGAATACGATTGTTAAAAAGCTAACAAATTTAATACTTGAATTATAATTTTATTGAACAGTGAGAGCGTTTAAATATAATAAGGTTTTTTAAAGACTTTAATCATGTATCCACATCGTGGGGTTTGCATTATCTTGATTATGAACAATTAATTGTCATTTGTCCGACCAGTACGTGTCGTCGTATTGTATGGTAGGAGCTTGAGATTTTAGGTCATACTTGGGATTTTAGTTCAGCCAGGCAGAGTTTCTATTGCTGTGAAATGTAAGCATGCTATTGCGTGTTTCTGACCAAGCATATATTTGCTCATTCTTGCAGCGTCTCATTATAAAACACTGGCTCATTAACAATCACGTGAATATTTCAAAATATACAAAGTCTCTTTTAATTATCAGATTCAAAAAGGTCTGTTCGACAAAATTCTAACTCAAGCATAAAAAACTCTTGTTTTATAAGCACGTTCAATTGTATCTGCAAAAGCTCAAAACGTATATTAACACAGGATAGCAAATAGTTTTTATGTTCATGAAAGAAAAGATGAAATATAGCATGTTTAAATAAAATTGAGATTATAATATGTTAGAGTATCGTAATCTGACTTACCAGGAGTAGTTAAAATAAGCAAAAATATCCAAAAGCACATTGCTCTCGTCTGCCTGCACATATTTATCTTCAAACTTTACTCGTTCTATTTCACCGAGTGTAGTTACAAAATCATCATGAAATTGAGCACATTCATACTATGACAAGGTGATAATAGCACACTTGCTGACACGTCAATTTAAATGTGAGGTGCAACTTCCTATTCACTAAAGTGACTACAGGACTACAGCATTCATTCTGCTGTGTGAGGGCTAGGGAAAGAGTTAAGAATCCTAACACGTTACTCGCAACTTTCAGCATACATTTGATAAGTTTTCTTTACATGGGATCAGTTATTTACATATAAACCAAATCGCCCAGCGTGTAGCTTGTTGGCAATGGCTGGTGATGGGATCCAACTTCTCACTATAGCTGCGCCATTGAAACTAGCTAAGTGCACAAGGAAAGGTGCAAGATAAAAAGCCTTTTACTTGCCACGTATTCATGCACACTGACCAAATACCAGAAAATTGTATTGATCTCAACAACATAAGATAATTGATTGACAAACAAAACAATGCATTAATTAGTGGTAATCAGATCACGTTTATTAACTGATGAATGCGTAATTATTAATAATATTGTAATTGTTTAAAATTGTTTAAGTCTTTTCTATTTCACATTAAAATTTCTGTGTCCTTTTTTGGCGACCATAATATTTGTCAGTTACGTGCATTTATTACAAATTAAGATTAACGATCCTCAAATTTTCTAAAAGCATCTATGTTATTTCGCCATTCATAATTGCAATTGGGCTTTTTAAGACAATACCATATCTGTGAGGTTTGTCGCCACAACAAAGTGTCTGTTTTACTATCATTATGTTGCTGTTCATGTAGATTTACAGTTGAAGAAAATTTCACTTGGCCTGATGAAGATGTGTTCGAGGTGAATATATAGCTCTTAATAGTGTTATGGAAAGTCCAGGTATGGATTGCTTAAAATACATTGCTCAGTTTGATCGTTCTCACGTCTTAACAACAACGGACGAAAATTTTGAAGAAGAGTTCATATGAGTTCCGTAAAGACAAGTGCAACAATTGCCTTCTTTTGTTAATAATGAAAATCAAATAGTTTAAAGACATCTAGAGAATGGCGATAACTAGTTGGCTTTCTCCAATTGAGCAACGTCAAATTTTTAAAATTGAAGCACTTAAACAGAGTAGTATAAACTTCATTTGATTTTTATAAAACATATTGTGATCATGACAAGTTTATCGTCGGCAAGTAACTCGTCCTTGCCACATACTATACAGTACTGCATGGCTATAAGAAAGATGATTACTGTGTTTACATAAGCTTATGCTAACCGAGGAGACCTTTGGAAGAACTTGAGAGTTGACAGCTGATCAGAAAGGTCAAGGCCGAAAATTGAAAGTTCTCACAAACATCTCCGAAGTTGGCATAACCTGGTGCAAACCTCGGAGACGGTGGTTTAATTGAACGAGCTCAGATGTTTTTCTGAGCGAGAAAGCCAGTAGCGTAGGCAGCCCGACTTTTTACTCCTGCTATACAAATCGGGAGTAAATCTGCAGGCTTGCTATGCTACTTGAGAAGGCCAGCCTGTACAGCGCTTCAAAAAATTCATGTGTGATGTTTGTTTTGCGCATGCAAAATATTCATATTAGATGTAAAATAAATCATTATTGAAAACATAGTTCAACGGTAACAACAAGCATTTCGAGGACGACAGAGATGCAACATCTTAGGTGGAAATACAATCTACAGTATGTACACAGTATAGAGAACATACAGTAGGGTCAATCCATTGAATTTTTTCGTGCCACGCATATCTTACAACGTATATATATGATTACCATATTGGCAGCCAGTAAATTGTATTGTGTGACCAATAGGATTGAAGATATGGCAAACGGAAGCCAGTAAACTAATTAAACATACAGTAGCCTATATGTGGTATAGACTCTATTTGAAGGGCGGCAGTGATAAATAGACAATTGGCTAATATCTTACAATTTTTTTGTTGATCTTAAGCTTATAATGCTTCATTAAAACATTTCATTAACCGCAATTTTTGTTTACTTACAGCCTATGACTATAATTTCAATGGAAAACTGTACTTAATTTAAATACGTAAAATTTAATTTATTCTCTTTTTTTGTAAGTTCTACTTATATAATATATTCTGTTTTTTACCACGTTCGTATTTAGTTGTTTAACGCCAATTATTGTAGAAAAAAAAACGTAGTTCCAACTACGACTTTTTGTTTGCAAAAAGCCATGATTTACAACTGACTCGCAAGCAAACATTAATTTGTAAGTTTCTTTTTAATCAAAATTTACTGGCAAGCAGTGAATTATGTATGGGGTGTTTTTATATTGACTCGAATGCAGACATGCATTGCAAGCTTCTTTTGTTGATAAAATTAACGAACATAAGGCACTTGTGGATTTACGGTTCGTCAAAATTAATTACTGAAGCTTGTTATTCTATGGACATATTTCTTAGTTACATTTTCAATAACCTAGATCTGTAGCATCTTCAACTAAAAATTGTACTTAATATGAATACAAAAATTATTTATTGTTTTACTTTGTAAGTTGTTCTTACGTATTTTAGTGGTTTAGCGCCATGTCTTAGAGAACACAATTGCCAACAGCAACCTACGACTTTTATTTTGCCACCTGCAACTCATAATTGACTCGCATGCAAAAATATAAGCTTAATTTAAATTAAGATTCATTAGCAACGGCGGTACATCCAATGGACGCTAACTTAATTGCAACCTTAAACCAGCTTATTTTTTACTAAAATCCATTGATCTAAGATATGTTAAAAATATTTTACTGAAGCTCAGTATTGGATTTACCTCGAGTATTTAATCAGGTATGTATCTTCCATTTCAAAGGCTTTTTAAGAGCATAAGCTTTGTGGACATTTTAAATTTGTCAATGTTGTAAACATCGCAAGTTCTGCCGACAAAAAACCCAGAAACAATCGTATCAAATCGTTTTTTACACCAGAGCAATTGCATTTTATGTTGTCTTTTTTGCGCCCGGTAGGTCTTTGCAACGTACAATTCATTCATTGACAAACAAAGAAATAATGTTTTTTGAGCAATGAATCCTAAAGCCTTGGATACATCAAATAATCAAAGTGCATGATTTCCTATGAATTTGGCTTTATTAAATGTCATATGCATCATGTAAGCTCAATGCTCTTTTGAAAATAATCTAAATTAATTTAAATTAAAGAGGTAGCTACTACAGCATATTGTGCTAAGTTTATCAATGATTATACGTATAGATAAATGAGCTTTACAACAGTTTTTGCTAAATTGTTACTCTATGTCTTTTATGTATCAGCTTTGTGAAATACAATGATGTTAGTTTTTTAAATACATAAAATATTTTAGCAGCAGGTATGGTAAAAGTACATGTTGCTTGATATAGCCATATATATTGAAAGGTTTAATACACAAGCAGAGAAGATACATAACAATTAATCAGTGAGTTGTATTGGCATTTTATCATGTATTTTCCATGTCAAAAATGTTCATTTTTATTGTGCATGCAATCTTGTCTGCTAATATTTTTTCAGAAGCAGATAGCTCTATCTACAGTTTGAGGATTTAAAAAGTAGAAAAGAGAAATGAATAAAATTCCCACGCTTTTGATAAAAATAGGCTTATACATAAATCAAAAAGGCATTTTTAAATGTTTTATATAGCTAAGGCTCATCAAATATGATACACAATAGTTTTTATAACTCAGTTTCTTGCAAGGCAAAATTAAGAACAAATAAGTATTTAGTGTTGTAAATATTACACGTCACAAGCAGAAAAAAGATCATCACAGTTGCAGGATTATACATGGCTACTAACTATGGTGACTCCAACAAATGTTTTCTGATGATAAAAAAGTCCATCACTGTCATCTTTTACAAACATATGTGACCTATGTTTTTACAAACACATTTCTTTTAAGGATTTTACTCAGTTGTTAGAGAAACAAAATGTTCTTATCTTTTGTTACACTCACTACCCAATTTTTAAGTGCAGTGAAGCCAGGCCATTTGAATATTTAAATCCTTGCGCATAGAACATAATATGAATCAATTCAGGAAGTGTGCATTGTTTTCATTTTGCACAAGTCCATTATATATAATTGGTATTTTAATTAAAGGTGTCCTTGCCATAACACATGTGATTAATCAAGATCATACTGTGCTACACAGAAGATAAGAGTTAAGTCTCTTGAGAAAAAATTTGAATTTTATGCTACAATTTAATCTGGACACAATGTCACCTTGAATCTTTCGGTAAATTTTCTTTATGTATCATCAACATCCGTAAAAACGAAAATAATTTGCCATATATTGAGATTTTTACAAAAGCCAAGAGTTTTAAAGTTCACTTGCCCGCCATTACAAATCATAAATATTGATTAAGCGTTATGTAATTTTAGTTAAAAATGAAAAAATACTTCACACAAATCTCACTCATAACATTGTGACGTCATTTTCTCACCTAAAATCGAAGTTTCAACTTTGATAACAACCACTTTTGTGCTCAACACATAAAACTATACTGAAACTGCTTTTACAAAAAAACGGAGTTATTTGATTTTCCCAAAGGTCGACTAGTCTAATGCTTCCGATGGAAATAGTGAGTATTGTTTTCATAGAGTCCAAAGCGAAACATTGCATGAGACTCAAATGAAAACAAAACTCTGAAGGGAGCAAAAGAACAAAGATCATACGACAGCTTTTCAATAAAACCAACGTTTTTTGGTGGATATTATTCCATCAAAATGTCTTTCCAAAATGCTATAAAGGTGACCATACCATATTTGATCAACTTCTGAGTGTTTTCTGAATCAATATATTATATTTATATACACAGCCTCTTTCCATTCAACATACACAGCACCTATTCTATTGCATACGAAAAAAAAGGAGCCGCTAAAACTATTTATATAAAGTACCAGTATAGTCGTACAGTAAAAATAAAGTCATGATAAAAAAACTTGGTAGTGAAATAAAAAAATGTTTTTTTTAATTTCATTCCAGATTATTGTAATACTTGCGTGAAAAAATCATTTTTATTATGTTGACAGCAAGTGTTAGCTCGAAATATTTGTAGCTGCACGATCCATAGATTTATAAATAAATTAATGCTCTTCAATTGATCAAGAAATTCAAGGTTTTTCTTTGTTTATTTTGACAGCTTGCAGAAGTAATTGAGAATGAGAAGGTCAATTAAGACAATAGCAAACTCAAAAGACTTCAAGAAATACTTTCCTTGGCTGCTTTTTATCATAATTCTTCGTTTTATCGGTATGAGAGATAGCATATGGAATCAGAACACATATATTGTCAAATCCTTACCTGAAAACGTTTAATCTCTATTGAACAACGGGCAAACGTGGAAGAACAGCAATTCAAGCAGTGTAAAAATTCACGTCAAATCAAATCACCAAAATAAACGTTTTATCTACTTAGTACGAACAGAGTCTTGTTTATTGGACAATCTTCTTAACCCACAAATGTTTGGACATAAATCAAAACACGATGTTCTTGTGCTGTCTTGGAAAAGCATTTGTTCTACAACTCAATTCTCCACGCCTAGTTACAACATTAGCTACATCTTTAGACCTGGTACAACTTGGAGTTCTGGAAGGAACATTCTGTACGAGTTGGCAATGAATTCTGCGCAATCCTACCTCTATTATATTTTTTTGGATGGAGATTTATCGTACCATTTCTCAAATTCCGATTTTGAAAAGACGTATCGTCAGTCTAATACGTCATTGGAAGTGTTTGAGTATTTTCTTTTGAAATACGAGCCTGCAATTGGAGTGCCTTTTTAATGCCCACGTCCAACAATACAAGGCCAGCCGTTATGTTATTATAATTATGAAATTTTTCCTTTCTGTGAAGTAATACCTGTTTCAATTTATTTCGACGCTGCTTTTAATGCTTTTCACAAGGACGCCATAAAATTCATACTTCCGTATCGATTAATATACGAAAAGGAGAGTTGGTGGGAAAGTCAAAAATTTGTGATTATTGCCGCTGATATAATATTTCGTGGACAAGTACTGACAATTCTTCCAGTTGCTACTGCAAATATAATGCACAGGGAATACCCCAGAGTCAATAGAGATAATTGGGACAACATTTATGACATGTTGCTAAAGGAAGCGCCAAAAGAATATGGTATAATTAAGGACTTCAAGCCTTCATATACAACTGTGAGTACTAAGCCTGTTGTAAGAAATGACACCGTTTATACTCCATATATGAACGTGGAAATTCCAAAACATCGAATTAAAGTTGAACCGTACAAAAGATTTAAACATTTATATGTTTAGGTCAACTCCACTGATATAGAAATAAGACTGGATCAAGCATCTAGCACAAAAGTTGAAGACAAAAAATAATGAGCGCCGCCATTACTAAGGAACCAACTTTCGAAAATAAGGAGCAAATATATTGTGCATTTATACCAGAATAATCAAGAATTTTCAACATATAACTGCATGAACAAAAAACACGATGAAATATGATGAAATATGATCAAAATGCAGCGATTTTTGTCATCGGTAACTCTACTTTGGTATAGAAAAGCTATGGAAAATAGCCTAAAACTGCATGAAAATACCTAATATTGTTGGAATCGCATTTCAGAAGTACAAACTGATTAAATAATCTCATTTAAAAACATAAAGTGATCAATCCTTTAAAATTACAAGCCTTTTTTACGAGTGATTCGGAGTGAAACCTGCATACGTTTTGTTTTATACGGCAGAATATTCTTTCCGACTTGCTTTACTGTCGTAACAAAGGTTGTTTTTCATCTTCGGCGTTATCCTAAAGCATAATTTGACCATGTGTTGCTATATTTTCCATAGTTTTGTTAAAAAATCTTTCAATGTGTTGGTCCCTTAGTAATGGCGGCGGTGGCTTCAAAATTTGGTTACTACAATGTAGAGTTGCTTGATCCAGTCTTTTTTCGAGATCACTGGTCATCTCTGCTAGGTTAAATGCTTAAGTTGACACATCACACGTTGAAATGTTGTAAAAAAGTGACATCTTGTAAGCTCTGCCAAGTGATGATGTCATCATTTTTTTGTTGTGATTTAATAGTTAAAATTAAGATTACAGCTTTTCACATTAATGTTGTTATTCGAATTGAGTGGTTACTCCTTAACCTATTTTTCTTCTTAAAGTAGTGTTAAAAATGTGAAAGAGATTTCTGGAAGATATATTCGAGCTTCAGTGATGCACACAATTTGGTTACATTTTTTAAATCTAAATTGAATCTACAACTTTTAAAATTTGGGTTGAGTTGACTGGGGTACGCGTAGTACGGATAGCACAAGTGAATGTTGATTGGTATATTTTGATAAAGAGACCGTTTTGCTATCGGTGCCGTGTTTTCCAGTTTATCTTTTTGGTTTTACTCGTATTCATAAATCAGAGTGAAAATTTTTTCGTTTGTACACTTGAGTTTGAAATACTTTCATCCTCATTTAGGATGCACCTTTGCCATCAATATTACGATCAATATAGATTAACAGCCGACAAGAAATTTTATTTCTAAAGTAACATTCCGAATTTGTTACAAATTCATCATCAGACTATATTTAGAAGCCTACAGACGCTCTACTCATATGTGCGTTACATCATTTCAACGGAAGTGCGGGAATGTAAAATAAAATTTCTTGTTTCTTTCACAAATATTGAGTTAAACATGAGTCTTTTATTCAGAGTGTGCTTAATATTATATTACGATCAATTAATTTATATTTGTCAAATTCATAAATGTTTAATTATCAGTGTCTTTCGAATTAAAAGTTATACATCATACAACAACATATACAATGTGAATGGTTGATCCTTTAAAATATGGAAGTATTCTCTTTTTCGCTTAGGCATGTATTCAATGAGTTCGAAGAAACTAATTCGTAATTAAATAGTTCGAACCTGAAATTGGATAATCTATGTTCTATTAAACGTGAAATTGCATGACATTGTGCATAATTCATATTTCTTTTCTTCCTCCACGATGGACAATTATTCGACATAATAGTTGGAGCAAGCCATTGCCTTTATAATTCTATCAAAGTTAGATGCCATGGTAACTTGAAGGCATATTTTCCAAGGAATTTTTAATTAAGAAAATCTTGTGTGAATTGCCAAGATATAGCTAGAGGTAAAGTGCATGGTTGATGGGGTAGTTAAAATAATAGGAAAATATGAAATAATAGAAAAATATATCAAAAAAACAATGTTCTTCGTGTTGAGCCAGTGGCTAAACTGGCTTTGACTGAACTCAAATGTAGAAGATACTTTTATGTTTCGTCACGTTGACAGTTTGTGTTGTACCTTCTGGTATGAGTTTAAGATTTGTAGACGGAAGAAGATGTAAATAAGAGCGTTCTGTTTGCACTTCTGTGTCTCGATCATCAAAAAAATATGACTCATAAGATGGATTGAAATAAGGTTTGAGGATGGCAGAGGATGTAACACATGTTTCTCGATTATTAACAATTTAACTCCCACTCAAAAATATGATGGAAGGGAGTTATTGTAATTTCAGTTAAAGATATATTTTTTGAGGTTAAAAATTTGTGTTGGTATTTGCTCGCTTTTTTTTCTTTGCTCTTCCTTCCAGATATCAGAAATGATACTAAGCGCCACATTGTGATAAATTTCGCACTCTATTCTCGAAAAACTAATCAAAACTAATTGCAAATATTGTGCACAATTTGTCCTTCCTTTCAAAATGCGTTAACATTACTATTTCATAATCCGGTATGCACGTTCAAAACATGCTTTAAGTGCAATATCAACGACCCCCAAAGGAATCGAATCTCACATTTCAACCTGAGAAACCTGCACCTATTCAGTCGACCACAGCGTACGTTAGAGAAAAACGGCAAATTTATTGTATTAAATATGAGAAAAGGTTTGTATATTCTGTTTGTGTATTCGTGAGAAATTTAATAACAGTCCGAGGACTTTTACTAAACCCTCCTTCGTTTGCGGGACATTTAATCACTAAAACCCCTGTAAGCATGCGTTTACTTTTAATAATAAGATGGTTGCCTGGGAATCATTTGTTATCGCAGAGACGTTTACTGACGTTATTCCCTCAGTCACAGCGATGAAGAATATTTATTTCTATTGAACTAAAATATATACTGTACTAGAAAAACATAATAAGTCTTTGAAGCCAAATTTTACACCCATATAAGCGTGCATGTAGTTCAAAATTCAAACAATTTTGACCGCAAGAGAAAATCTCGAAACCGTTTCAAAACCGGCACTATACACAAGCTTGTCAGGGTGCAATCTCGCGTGTCTGGGTGTAAGAATTGACATCAATTTTTGCATCAGCGTTCCATATATTTCAGTTCAATTATTTATTTCAACATAACCCTTATGAATATCTTTATTCGGGAAGTTTAGACTAAAATCACGTACGCCTTCTTTTTACATTTTATTCTCGTTGCCTGTAGAACTTGCATCAGATTTCTTCCTGACATTTCCAATGAATAATCATTTTCAGTTCTAGTTAATGGAAAGTTGATGAACTCGACCAGTTTAATCAAACGACCCCATTTCGAAAGCAAGTTTACAGTTAGCTACATCGTGAATACTTGAGAGACAATTAAATTTTCCCCTTTCATTTAGCATCTCAAAACTTGTTGTTACAACACTTTACCTCATTTTTTCGCTACAGTGAGATTGGTATCGGAAATGTCTATCACTCGCGTCGGCAACTTCGTTCTTACTAACTAATTAAACCCAGTGATCAAGCATGAAAAACAATAATCATGCACTAATATCCTTGAAAGCACGCGTTTACTTAGAATAAAATCTTAATGACGATAGGCCATTGTTTTATGGTTTTTAATTTAGCAAATCATTAAAACTATTTTCCATTCTACTTTGAAGAAACATTTGTGGCACCTGAAATCTCCCCAAATTGCTCCCCCTTTCTTCCAGTTCTACGCGTTTGCAGTTGGAAAATTTTGCCAACGTAGCTATAGGGACAAGGAATAGGAACTGAATCTTTGTAATCAATCGATTTACTTTCAGGGAACTTTGTTTTAACTTTTTTGGTATCTCTTTAACTTCATCTTACCCAAGAAGCCCACTAACCTTCAGCAAACGTCGTAACTTTTCTTGATGTCCAGTATAGTTGTTCTCCAGCAGCACGTTGTCTTTGATTTTGCCTTTCAGTTTTTCAAGGCAAATCATCACAAACAGAGCTAGGTTATGAACTGTTTCAAGCTTAATATATGAATTTTCCGCAACTTCGCAAACATTATTTAAATTAGTCATCCTTCACCATCTCCCTATCAAAATTTACTCGTTTACACGAAGGACCCGTACCTGCATCAGACGCACCTGCAGAAGACGACTGTTTTAATAGATTACAGATTAATTTCAGATTAAAAAACACAAATCAATTAGCTATATGGACTACAAACCTAACTACATTTTTCATATTTTTCTTTCATATTTTCATCATCAGCACTATTTTTTAAAGAAGAAAGACATGTTAAGAAATAACCACTTAATGTGAAAAACTGTTTCAATGTTTAAATCGTTTGTACGGTTCAACTTTAATTCGACCTTTAGGAATTTCCACGTGCATATATGGCGTATAGACGGTGTCATTTCTTACAACAGGAAAATTCGACACACTCGCATGTGAAATGTTGAAGTCCTTAATTACACCATATTTCTTTGGCGTTTCCTTTAGCAACATGTCATAAATCATGTTCCAATTATCTCTATGGAGTCTGGGATATTCCCTGTGCTTTATATTCGCAGTAGCAACTGGAAGAATTGTCAGTACTTGTCCACGAAATATTATATCAGCGGCAATAATCACAAATTTTTGACTTTCCCACCAACTCTCCTTTTCGTATATTAATCGATAAGGATGCATATATAAGTATGGATTTTATGGCGTCCTTGTGAAAAGCATTAAAAGCAGCGTCGAAATAAATTGAAACAGGTATTACTTCACGGAAAGGAAAAATTTTATAATTATAATGACATAATGGCTGGCCTTGTATTGTTGGAAATGGGCAGTAAAAAGGTACTCCAATTGCAGGCTCGTATTTCAAAAGAAAATACTCAAACACTTCCAATGACGTATTAGACTGACGATACGTCTTTTCAAAATCGGAATTTGAGAAATGGTACGATAAATCTCCATCCAAAAAAATATAATAGAGGTACGATTGTGAAGAATTCATTGCCAACTCGTACAGAATGTTCCTTCCAGAACTCCAAGTTGTACCAGGTCTAAAGATGTAGCTAATGTTGTAACTTGGCGTGGAGAATTGAGTTGTAGAACAAATGCTTTTCCAAGACAGCACAAGAACATCGTGTTTTGATTTATGTCCAAACATTTGTGGGTTAAGAAGATTGTCCAATAAACAAGACTCTGTTTGTACTAAGTAGATAAAACGTTTATTTTGGTGATTTGATTTGACTTGAATTTTTATACTGCTTGAATTGCTGTTCTTCCACGTTTGCCCGTTGTTCAATAAAGATTGAACATTTTCAGGTAAGGATTTGACAACATATGTGTTCTGTTTCCATTTGCCAATTTTTAGACAAATACAAAGAATTGTGGTGAAAATGAGCCATGGAAAAATTTTCTTGAAGTTTTTTCCCATTATGTTATTGACCATGATGTTCTAAATTACTTCTGCGGGCTATCAAAAGAAAAACAAAGAAAAAAGCTTGAACTTCTGTAAGTTGATCAATTGAGGAAATTCAATTTACTCAGATGTTTACGAAATTTTCAGTTCGCTAATATTGTTAGAGTAACACTTGCTGTTTGATATTTTAAAGATAATTACAATGTTTACGAAAGAAGTACATTTATTTGAAATAGAATTAAAACATTTTTTTTCATTTTACCACCAGAGTTTTCGGACTTAATATCTACTATAAGATACTTATTACTATAATTACTCTAAATTTTATGAATAGTTCTATACAAGCTGCTGTTTACTGATCAACGTGTGAAATAGAATACTACGTTTCCTTAGAGGTAGTAAAAGCTGCGCTTCTAAATCGGGTCAGAATCAAAACCTCCAAACTAAAATTTGCTTATTCACCGGCAAACCCTGCAGAAATGAATAC